CAGAGAAACGGTCCAGTTTCATCAAACTTATCAATAACAGTTAAAGTAACTGTTATAAGCTACTGAAAATGTGGTATTTGATTGGCTGAGAGCAAATTTGTCATAGAAATTTAGCATTTGTTATTTATAACAAGTTTTATGAAACAGTGCTCTGATCTAGAGATATAATTGAACTCTTCAAAGGGCAACCCTGTTGACTCAGCATCATTCCAAGCTTTCGACTCATTGTAGAATATGAATACATTCACAATGTATTGAAAAATATGTGTCCTTGGACATGGCATGATAATAGAAGAATCCTCAAAGCACAAAGCTCAGCAGTTCATGTAACACAGGATATAAAAGCAAGCAAGTGGGAAACTAATACATTTCATTATACATGGATGAATGAGCCACTATACGTGAAGGAAAGTTTTAAATAATGGTAGAAAGAATTAAAAGGAAATGAAGCATGACACTTGTGTTTATGATTCATTTTTATTAACAATATTTCATAATTCTATTTTTAAAGGTTCAAAATATTTACCCAGTCTTTGATCTGAATAAGATTAATCTGCTACAAAACAAAATTCCAATTTGCTAATTAATTGACCTTTGAATTTCAACAATTTTTAGAAGAAGATAAAAATGGATCAGCATACTCTGGTTTGGCCTTGACAGGAATGCCTGAGGGTTGAGAGAGGTCATCTTCTATTCTCTTTTTTTTCAGGTTCATATTATTGGTTATAATTAAAGGTACTATGTCCCTTTTGCAGGCCAAAAAAAATGAAAAGGTTAAATTCCAATGGCATTTGAAAGATAATACTAATTTAGAACTCCCCTTAAAAAAATGGGGCTTGAAAATGTCTTTAAGTGGGCAAATAATGACTATTATTTGTCAAATCGACTTAGGAGCTATAGAGCCAATAAGTAATAGTCTTGATTTTCAGACCATTGTACCGCATGGTCTTACATTTTATGCTGCACAAAAATTCAATCAGTTTAATTTTGGCCATTACAAGAAGTGGGTTATTGATGTAGACAAATTCTTTACAGCTCATTTTATGTATGTTATTACCAAAGAAGAAGAAAAAGCCAGTCAGACACTCAATACTGACAAGAGTGTCTGACAGTGAAGTCTAGCAAGTAAACGGGTTTCCTTACATAATTTGAATATTAGGACACTGCTAACGTTTAAATTTCACAGATAGGACATACATGACATATTCATAATTCCTGCAAAGTTCTACAGAATTTGAGGTTGGCTGCAAAAGGGACATAGTATCTTTAATGCATATAACATTTTAAAGTTGTGTCTTGGGATTTTATTCAATTTGACTTAATTTTATTTGTCAAGTACAAATATATATCTAAAGCATGAGAAATTTACACCAATTAAGAGAGAGAACATGTATAACCTAATAATGCTAAAAGCAGCTTACATGTATTTCTTGTGGGGCCACAAAATGGATCATATGCTGTCAATTAAAATAAATTTGACTCATATTTATTAAAGGATAATGGCAAGATTATTCTCTACGTGTGCAAAGATACCCCTCCATGTGTGCTATCTCACACTGTACAGTTTATGTCAAAGTCATATTGTAAGATCACTTAATTTTAATTTTGCAAACGAGTATTATTTTTGTAACTGTTCTATATAAATGTTATAAACTATGTAAATATGTTCATTCAAGGCCCCATGGAAGACCACTACTTGTTGGTGAATGGGCTACCCTGTCAAAAGATTAGAAATAAATAAATGAAAAATGGTAGCTGAAATGTTCATGGGTGCTAGCCACGTATGTGCTCTCTTTTAGCAAGATAATTATATTTGCAACTCGGTATCAGGAACATCTATAGAAACCTGCTTGGTACTGGCAGAATGCCAAAAGCCATTAATCATTGCAAAATGCCCTTATGGTGACCATATGGTTGGAATATCCCTCTGGGGTGAAGATGGTGCACACTTTGCTTGCATGAAAGAACCAAATAATCTTTGTAATAATATTCATAAATTAATTGGGGATGATAGTAATGAAAGCATTGATATTACCACTGTTATTATTATGAGTGATATATGTTATTTCATGTATTATTATCATCGTCATAATCCAAACTATCAGTACAACATAGCACACTTCATGTAGGTTGCCTTTTAGCAAAATGTGTTTGAAATGTTCAACATACAGCTATATGACTGTATTCCTTCTTGTAGCACATAATTGCAACATTAATCCTTGGCAGCATCCCTGCACTGCATGCTAAGTACATGAAAGACTGCATGATTCATACAACACCCTCAAAAGCATCCAGGGAAGGAAAATGTTACTCTGACCCCCGGGTTTGTTTGAAGATTTCTTTGGACTTAGTGACTTGCATCCATCAGATCATGTGATCTATGTCTAGACGACAGGGGTCACGGAGTCACACTTACATGATTGAGCGAGGGATAAGAGCAACATGCTTGCTGGCTGGCATACAATGGTGCATGAGAGGCACGGGCTTTGAAATACAAGTCATGCTCGACATTCATGTTCCAATGTGCTATACAGAGCTTTCGGCTCCTAGGGTACCTATGTTGAGGAATACTCCTTTACGAAGCTGCGCCCCCTATGCCCAATTTTCTGATTGCGCGCTTTAATTCAAACTTCACTTGAAGCACGTGGATTTACGTAAACATATATAAAGTTAAATATATTAGGTGATTAACACATGATAGGCTTGGAAATATTTAGCAATACCCCTTTTATTAGGTCCTCCAATCCCCAATAAATAATGACGAGCATGGGAATTATTATTTATATATCACCCATACATGTACATACAATATATGCCCTATATCATATGCATGGTAGCAATGGTAGTGTTGTAAATTGAAATGACATACCATCCAAGAGCTTCATTCTGTATTGGTTTTATGCAGCACTATATACATGTATATTCAATTAAATTGAGGTAATATATCAACCATTACTATTTGTGTGGGGTTGCCAGGGGTTTCTACTTCACCGCTCCCAGCACAGCAGGCATGCAGCATTGGAAAGGAATTCCATCCAAGCTTTTGTTCTGATCTGAAGTCATGAATAATGCAGTTTCTTTCTAAGTCTAAATGTCATTCTAGTCATCAAACCCTTGCTAAATATTCTTCCTATTTCAGTCATTGTAATATCCCTTCATTTACCTATTTACTATTATGCAGGGAATAATTTTCCTGGTATCGCATCGCAATTTGCTATGCATTTTTGCATGACTGCTATACAAAATATCTTTTGTGTAGCAGTTTTCTTCCATAGAAATGTACAGAATTTCATTTTAAATATTCATCCATCGGCTGAAATTGCTAATCAAAAAATTTGAGGAAAATTATTCCCTGTTATGTACAAACTACTAGTGTAATATTCCATGTACTTTTTGCATTTTTATCACCTCCCTGTATCTATTGATCAGTGATCACCCTACATTTGTAGACCCCTTTTTTCTTTTCTTATTCTCTGTCACTTTGCCTCCTTTTTTTTCCTCTCATTTACAAGTACAAATGTTTTGTAGCCATGCAATACATATCACTATTATCATTCACTCCCCCCCCCCCCCTCTCTCTCGCTCTCTCTCTCTCTCTCTCTCAACTCTAATTCTTTCTCCCTCCCTGAGCTTTCCTGTAAATTTATAATTATGACTATCTGTTATGGCTTAGGAATCAACACTAAATGATCAAAGGCCACTGTACTTAACCATCAGCCATGGCACATAGCCAATTCTCCTTTAGGCTTTATCCCACATACACCTTGTTTACAGATTATAATTCTCTCTCTCTCTCCCTCTCCTTGACTTAATTCATTACACACCTTATCATTCTGGGAAACCTGAATGAGATGCAGCGTAGTAATGCAGTGCTACAGTACCTTAATTACAAGCTTAACACCTGCATACACAATTCTTTTAATGAATTCATTTATTCATTTATCATCATTTTTCAAAATATATGGTAGCAAGCATGGAGTAGTTTTATGTCAGTTTTTTTTTTTTAAATATTTTTTTATTTTCTCTCAAATCAAATACCTACATACATATTGTACAAATCATTCTTTACAGTTACACTCATGCACACATACTGTACATATAACACACAACACCTCCTATACACTCACACACACACCCACCCACACAGGAATATGGTGTTATGTAATATGATGCAACCTTCCTATTTTATTTATCTATCCACCAGCAAAACAAAAGCTTTCCTCCTACATCCCAGTGTTTGTAATTGTGAGATATGTACTGTACATGTTTGCAGATCTGTGTACAGTACATGGTCATCTCCCATTGCTCATAAATAAAGAGGCGAGATACAGAGTCGTGTCCCCCATGTCCCCAACTACAATTTACAAACATTCTCGTCATGTATACATAACATGGACCTACGAGAGAGAAAGATCTACATGTTTGTACGACCCCTTATACAACAACATCCACCGGACAATAAAATAAATAGTTCACCAAAGCCAAATGGAAAACAAAGAGTATCAATAACTAGGGAATATTTGCTATGAAGCATGAGGTATTTTGATGAAAGTAACAACATTTTGGCAGATTCCTGTAAAGCATAAATACATTTTCCCATATATGGATTATGGGTGACCTTTCCATGAACTCTTCATAAATGTGTGATGGAAAGGGGAATGAATTGTAGGGGGAGTACATGTGACATGGAGATCATGAAATGTATCTACCCTGAAATAAATATGTGGAAAGTAGTTTAATTTCTAAGTGACAAATATCAGGTATTGCAATAGAAAATGATGAATAAAATAGGCCAGGAATTATGAGAGTAATTTATTTTCTACACCCTTATTGTTTATCTGAGGTATGTGCATTTCACACCTTTCACTATGGAAGGCCCCTTAACTTTGTTTTACTTACAACATTGTAAAAACAACAACAACAACATCAAAATACATGGCTATATACTGTAGCTACGAGTAAGAGGCAATATGTGTGTACAAAAAAAAATCAACACAGAGTTAATTGGTGCCATCTAAAACATTTATTTTCATTCAATGAAACGGAACAACTCAACAAGTGAAATAACAAGCATGAATTCAATCTTTCTCATGATTTAATGACATGTAAAAAAAATACACACAATACACCAAAACCTACACATAGACTTAGAGTTAGACAAATGTTGGGCACAAAAAAATCATACAATTTTGTTTTAAATCTTATTGAAAACATCCCAGTTAAGAGTGTTTGCTATGGTAATCCACAGTGTAATTAATTGTATGACAACATTCCTGTTACAGAATGCAGAGATTATCAGAGGAAATACATCATTCACATATTCCATGTTTGAGTAATTTGTGTCTAATATGGGAAAAAGCAAACATGTGTGTGACTTTAAGAACTTTATCCCCACTTCCTGGTAGTTAATTTCATCCATTCACTTGAAAAATATATTCAATACATGCCTAAATTGTATGAAAGTGGAAAAAACGTAATACGGTATGCAAAAGAAAATGATAATACATATAAGCAGTACTTATAAATTAACTGTAAAGTTTATGATTTTGGGCTATTTTAAAATGTTAAGCGTCTCAATATCAGATTATGTTGTACAGATGGACGTTAACTGAAATTTACACATTTAGAGTACATGTGTTTATTACCAGTGATGATATATTACAGTGTTAGCTTTCAATAAAACACCAACAGAAATTTAGTTTGGCTGAATTTTTAGACACTCCCATTTCATTTTACTACCCGATTTACACAAAATACATAGTTAAAAGAAATTAATACTCCTTAAAAACATTTCTTACAGATTATCAAATACTCCACTCATTTTAAATTGATTGCAAGTTTTGTCAATATTAAGCACATTATCAAATACAATGATTTTTGCAGCATTCAGACATTTCAGTCTCATACATATATTTCAAAACTAGTTTAGCATGGCCTCTTAATCAGAACTGCTTGTTTGAAGAGTCAATCAAATTAAAACATCTTGATCATTTATTAGTCGTCTATTTAACAAAAATGAAATATTCTTGGCAACAATACATGACATTACAGAATTCTAACAATAACATTTTAGTATGGTGTTGTTTTTTAGAATTTACATTTACACTAAAGCATTTTTCAGCAGGCCCAGATTGTATTTCCCTGATTAGACCTGGTAAATGTACATCAATTAAAACAACAGTTATACTTATGCATGTTGATCTGGGCTGAAAGCCTGAAAAACGCCTGTTTTACACATTTCACCTACATTTATACCGTCTATTGTCAATTTCCACAGTTTTAAGACATGATGTAAACCTTGTAAGAAGGTTTAATATACATACATGGGTGTAAATATGAAAATTCTGGCAACTTATTTTCTGGGCTAGTTGTTCCTGCCTCATCCCAAATGTACATCTTTACATATTTTAAAATGGAGCATCCATCTAGAAAAAGGAAACCGGCACCTGGTCGCAATGGTCAGGGCCTAGTTCACAAACCAAACGACTTGGGCTTGACTTTTACACAATCATTAAGACAACAAGTATGGCACCAACTTATATTCTTGCAGCATTTCTTTACATACAGCTACATTTACAAGTTTTATCACAATCACAGCATTTTTCATCCGTAAAGAGCTATACTCGAGCAGTTTATACAGTCACAAAGCTAATAGCAAGCACAAAGAGAAGCGCAGTTAGGGATATAAGCAAGCCATGTTTGACATTTGGGATTCTTACTTTTCTAGCAGGGTAATTTGCTTTGAGCAACAAGAGCAGAAATGCATACATGCCACATTTATCATTATGCAAGCTTCAGTCTTAGACTGTGGATCTAGCACACAACAGCATATAAGCTTAGCTTCAACCTTATTTCATTTCCATTTCTAACTATTTAGCCTGAGATAAAAGTCTTCTTTCTTGTTTGGCTGAGGTATATGATAGTCTATGAGACATTTTACTAGGTACCCCATTTCAACTAGATTTTCATACATTTCAAAATTAATAATTATTTCTTAGAAATTCAAATTTTCATCACAATACAATTAGACATTACAATATAATGACATTCTTTTTAAAAAGCTGTCTTTTCAGAGGTAGCACAACAATTGCAAATTCAGACATTTCTTACATTCAATATATGAGATAATGAGTAAACAGGAGAGTGCAGTATTCTATTTTCTAAATCTACAACTAACAAATTTTTTCACAAACATTGATACTGTAGGTGCAGCACTATTCAAACATGGTGATTAACAAGACTACATAAACCCACAAATTTTCCACTAATTGTTCAAATACACCAAGACTGAGCTGAGGTAAAAATTAAGTATATCAGTCATGTTGTATACCTTTCTAGAAATTCTTAGCCTATTCATTTATATTGTGAAAGAGTACAAATGACATTGCATTTCAAATAAGCAGCATTATTTGTTTTCTTATTTGGGCAACTCTTGTTCACGATCAACTGACATTTACTTCTATTGAGATATCAATTTCAACATGTTGAAAGAGAATGTGATAACAAAAATAGTAAATAGATGTTTGCTTTAAATATTCTGCCCTCAAATGTTATCTTGAGGTATAAATGTTGTATAAATGTTGTATGCATAAATATGCTAATATTTTTTGTCAATTGTAGGAAAAGTATGAGGAAAATGTTAAATAATTGTAAAAAAGGAATATCAACATGTTTTCTCCGTAAACCTTTAGATGAATTTGATATACAATTCCAACACAGCAATTGACTTGTATCAACAACACTTTGATTAGGCTAGATTAGGCCAATTTGCTTTGCTAATTTTCCCTATGATATTGAGTTATTGACAATACTTGAAGTATAGAAATTTATCTCCTTTTTTGTAGCATCCTATGATCCTTTGTGTGTTCTGAAATTGCATCTTGCAAACCATGGACCAATGATAGAGCATGATAACATATGGTTGAAACATGTAGCTCTCAAACAACCAGCAATAAAAACAATATCAAATTGTAAGAAAATTTGATTATTTGTGCTTTTCACTTCAGTAGGCTATTTGTATACATGTAACTGCATGTTTTTCTTTTGAAGAAAAAGATCCTGCATGCCAGTAAAAATTGAAGGGCAAATTGCTAGCTTTTCAGTCCTTTTTGACAACAAAATACTAATACATAATTAAGAAAAGCTAGAGTTTTATTGTTAAGGTATGAGCACTATGGAGGGTGATTGTCATTTAATTTGTAAAAAAAGCTTAACATGGCTCTTCTTCACTGGGGGGAAATAGCACGCAAGAATCTTTGGCAATAAACAGGTAGATTGATGGCAAACAAATAGTCTCTTTAGATGAAGTAAACATACAGTCTACTATTGATAATAATGCTTTTACCATTTTGACAATCTTGACTTAGTGGTGAGCAGAATAAAGCTGAACTTAGAAGGCATCCCTGAGCATAAAAGTATAATAACCTGAAATAAATCAAAAAGCTTGAAAAGGCCATAGAGAACTCTAATGAAATACATATAAATCTCTTTTACAATTGCATTTGGCAGCTTTTTACCAGCTAATTTACAACACTAATAAGTTCATACATGAAATTTTAGGCTGGTCAAGTGAGTAATGCCCAAGTACTTTTGATGTAACTTTTTGTAAAAGTACATCTCAGCTATTGCCAAACACCTAACACATGACAAGAACAGTTTAACTGAACTATCCTCACAGCTGTGAATGAAAAATGTAGTGAAATATATATAAGTGGAAAAAAATCAACACTGTTTTGTTATGGATTAACAGCACAAAACATCTACATAATATACATGAAACTAATCTAATAAACAAAAGAACAACCATTTTTTAATACAATTTTTTTTCTTCAATAAAACATTTTCACGAGTCTTGCATCAATGTACATTCCTTTTAAATTCAAGCTTTGACAACAAAATGCTTCGCACTTGGAGCCTGTTGAAATAATTCAAGTAATATTGGCAGCTGCAAAATATCATACACATTTATATCTTATAGTTATCAAAACATTTGACTACACATGCAAGTTTTAAAAGCAATTTACAATCACTTCTTGGATCGACCTGAGCTGTGGATGCAGAAACCTCTTCCCATATTTATCCCTGACTGTGAGGTAGAGCACACCATTTTGACATTGAGGTAGATACTGAGCGCAGCCATGTTAGTGTCTACTACTGTTCACCTACAGGATATTTAGGGAACTACATCATGTAACTTTATATTATTGTATTGGACGGGTAACAATTCATCCTTTATTCCTTTTTCTTGAGTTTGTTATTGAAGTACATGTATATTATGCTACTTAACTTAAGTGGTTTATTCATTTGATTAGGTTCCATGAAACACCAGCTTTGATTCAAAATAGCCAAACAGGAGTTGCGTTTTTTTAATTTGTAATATTTAAACAAAGAGAAAATATTGATGCTCAAAGGAAACTGCAACCAATTTCAAACTTTGAGCAAGAACAACACCAAAGTAACTGCAGGTGAATCCTATTATCACTTCTTTCATTAAAACGGTTAGCTAGGTAAAACAAAAATTCTAATTGGTTTGAGAAGGAAGTGCATTTTTTTGCATGGTCTTCTTCTTCATCTGCCATACTTGCATTTCCATGATATTTAACCCAAGCTAATAAAAACTGAAATTTGCTACTTGTGTTGTCCTTTTGGAGGAAAGATATAGTGCGTATATAAACTAAAGCATTTAGGTTAAAAATTCATGTACAAGTATATATAATATATATCTAACTGGTATTCCCCAACAATCACTTGCATAAAACCACAACACCTTTACAATTAGATTGTTGAAAGGGCAGAAAACACAGCAGAAAAATAACAATTTATTCATCTTTCAGTACCCGCATAGATTTGTCATTAAAAGCTAGCCAGCTTGGAAGTCTCAACGACAGAAATGTTTTACATTTTGCTTAGAGCATTTAATATACACATACATGTAGAAACACAACATTTTTTAGAGTGCTACAGGTGTATGCAAATGAATGTGGGGATATATCAGTGGCTCAGAATCATCCTCCAATAAAATATTCCTGCCCCTGTAACACAAAAGGCCTACCTTTATTTACCCGTAATAATCACTTCAGAATGCTTGCACACGGTTGTTGCCGAAGTCTACCACTAATATCACACCATCTGGAGACACACAGATGCCTGAAGGGCGATCTAGCTGTCCAGACCCCGTACCTGGCATACCAAACTTACAAAGGAAACTACCATTTGGATGGAATACTTGGATGCGGTGATTGCGGGAATCTGCCACAATGATGTAGCCTTCCTGGTCAACAGCTACACCCTGAGGTCGTAGAAACTGCCCATTGTTGGTTCCCTCAGATCCAAGATACTGTGCAGACTGGAAGTCAGAATGGATGACCACCAGACGATGATTGTTGAAATCTGTTGTTACGATGTGTCCATCGTTGTTGTAGGATACTCCTCTGGGTGAATCAAAGTGCTTCCACAGAGCACCTTCAAACCCAAATTTGTTGATGAAAGTGCCATCTGGGTTGAACTGCTGGATTCTGTGGTTCCTGGTATCAGACACCAAGATTTTACCCTCACTGTTGACTGCAACATCCCAGGGATAGTTGAACTGGCCGTTCTTACTACCTTTCTCACCAAACTTGAAGAGAAACTGGCCTGATATTTTGAAGACCTGGCATCGATGGTTATCCTTATCAGCTATTATGATGTTGCCTTCACCATTAACCGCAACTCCAGCTGGCCGATCAAATTGCCCGTTGCGTGTTCCAGGAGAACCAAATTTATGACTGAATGAGCCATCTGCATTGAAGATCTGGATGCGGTTGTTACTTCTGTCAGCCACAATGATTCTTCCCTCAGGATGTACCGCAATTCCCCATGGACGACAGAGCTGACCTTCGCCTTCGCCTTCACTACCAAAAGACATGAGGGCTGGACCAATGGTAGTGAACTTGCGTGCATTGCGAGCGGTGACAACAAATGGGCTATCCATGATATTTTTACCCTTGATTGTGACTGATAAGTAGTGCTGACCCTCAAGCATTGGTCTGTAGCTTGCCTGATAGGTTCCATTCTGCTGGTCAATAACCTCAGCTGGATAGAGGATGCCATCAGGACCACGAACAGTAACCTCTAGAATCTCGCCACCAACACATCTTGGTTCATTATTGTGATCTTTTGAGTGAACCATGAAGGAGGATATCTTGCCGATCAAGGCCCGTTTCAACCCATCACCTGTAGCATAGCAGTTTGGTGGATAAGCACTGCTACTGATGTAACCCATGGATAAGATGGCAGTATGCAAAACACTATCAGGGGGTGTGAAGAAGATGCCATCTTCCTCCTGTGGTTGAAGGTAACCCCGTAGACTTTTCAGTGTCCTTATCTCAGACATTATCTTTTCTTTGGTTTTCAGAACATCAACATCTGTGCCCGATTCCAGAGCTTTCTGCACAGATTCCATACACTCATTCAAGCTCTCCATAGCCTGTTGAATATCATCAGCTTGAGAGTGGAGTGATTTGCTCTTAACTTGGCGGATCACTTCAACTTTGCGTAAGAGCTCCCTCTCTCTTTCTTCCAGTCCCATCTTGTGCCTGCGAATGTTGGAACGAACCTCTGAAGCTACCGTTTGACACTTGTGCTCTACCTTCTCTGCCATGGCTTGTGTGTGTGCCAAGCTTTCCTGAAGAGCTCTCGAGTTGGCCTTGGCATCATTCAGCATCTTGACCGTCAATGCTTTGCTATCCTGGACAGCATCTTGGAGGTAAACTACACTGTGACCATTGTGCTCCACCATGGTGCATTCTCTACAGATCGCTTTGTAGCAGGTATCGCAGTATAGTCGAAGCATCTCCTTATGAATGTCACAATAGCTGGGAGGTCTGTCAGAAACAGGCTGCATCTTGGGCGGCTGATACTGATGCTGGTAGTGTTGAAAGAGCATAGGGAGCTTGGGTGTGTGGCGGCTTCCATTGATGCCTCCTCCTTCCAGGTAGATAATGGTGTGATCTTTGGTGAGACGGACCCGTTGATGAGCCAGGACACAACTTTCACAAAGGACTTCATTGCAATCCTTGCAAAGGCGTGTGGCAATCTGCCCCTCCTCACACGAATTGCACTGTCGCCTGTGATGATTCTCTGTGAGTGTGAATAAACGTTGATCCATTTCATCATCATGGCTACTGACAACATCGAGGATGTTATTGATGAGAATACTGGAGGTCAGACCATCTAGTCCCATATCACCAAGTGATGTTTCATGCATGCAGACAGGGCACTTCACGCGATCTGGTTCGGCGACGCGTTTCTCCAAACATGGTCTACAAAAACTGTGCAAACATTGCAATATTTTAGGGTCTGTTATGCGTTCAGAACACAGAGGGCACCACTGCTGTGAATCGTGAAACTCGTCGACTTCATGCGGGGTGGCCATTTGCTCAAAGAATACTTTAAAGAGTCACAGTATGTTAGATTTTCAGTCAAATATCTTAAAACACAGAGAAATATGAACGTTGACGTGATATAATATCGTTCAAAAGCTCCGATGCCAGTGGGCTGCATGCCAATGCTAGTGCTATCACTGCCCGATCGTTGGCAATTTACTTGATGTGTGTAATGCATTCGTGCGGCTTTTCCCTCCACGATCGCGTTCAATTATGCCCTGCGAAACATATTGTTTTGTTCGTGGTCAGAGGACCACAAAGTCCATTATCAAGACCATCCTTTTGGCCGATATATAATCCTTCTAACAATGAAACATGGTCAGTGGAAGTCTCTTCAATTTTGAGTCAAATACAAGTAAGACGCATTCCGAAGTCATGGCTTGTTGCACAACCTTTACTACATACAACTCACTAGGTCAACGGCACTGCGATACGCGATGTACGGAAGCAGCGTTTGAGATGTAGGACGAAGGTTCCTGTGTATTTCGTAGTACACGCAGTTACTCACTGACCAAGATAACAATGGAAAACATACAGAGGCTCTGTCCGCGTGAATGGGAGATCGTACGTTTACTCACCCGATGATTAATATGACCTACTTCTACCAAGCCCAAATAGTGGAACAGTAAATAAAACCTTGATCCACGATCTGACCTATATAGATCCGAACTAGTTATGGTTCATAAACGACCCTCATCGGCTAAGAACCCTACTTTATTTATCAAAATATTAGTTAAAACTCGAATATATGAGATTAATTTATCTACGAATAAGTCCTAGCTCCAGAATAAAAGGACCAAATATCTGATGGCCTTAACAATTCTGAATGATCTTGAAATCTTTTTGTTGTTAAATTGTCAAAAAATGAAATTATTAAACAGATTTCCCAATTAGACAACTGGAAGATATAAAAGGGGAGGAGAAAACGGCTATGTGGCTGTAAGATCTGGGGGTGTTTCACAAAAACTAATTAAGATCGACTTCAGTAAGTTGGACATAACTATTGGCAAGCTTTTAATGCCACTAGTTGCTCTCACCATTTGTCTCTCAATTCTGATCTTTAGATACTATTTTTTCCTCCATTATAAAACAAAAGAGTAAATTCTGTACATTTGTGACCCGATTTGTAAGTCCCTTGAGAACTTTGCCAGAAATGGTTAGAGGAACTATAGTGGCATGAACGGCCTGCCATATAGTTAAATCAAATTTTAGTCTCTGTGAATTAAACACTCCCCAGTCTATAACTTTATAAGGGTCAATCAAGAGAATCATTGAGGGTGGCCATGGTACCACTATTATTGTCAGGTGGCATTTCTACACGGTTCTTACATCGACGCTCTGGTTTACTCATCGCTTGATCTCACGTGGATAAAATGGAATACAGGGAGAGAAAAGGCACAGCGTAATAGAATCATTTCCAAGAAGGCATCATCTTGACCACCAAACAAACACCTCTTGCATAATGCTTCTTACGTAATATCGGACAGGAATTAGTGACGTCTTCTTTCTAAGAACTAGTAAGGGATTTTTTTATGATATGGTAACAAGAGTAACAACATCCTCTCTTTCTGCAACATATTATAAGTATATTCCAAGTAATACTGTACATCAGAGATTGTTACACTAATGAGCAAACTATGATTAGGTATAAGGCAGTGGATTAATTTAAATAATTTGAGGTATATATTCTACATGATATCCAATTCGAATTTAGAAAATAATTTGTGAAAATTAAGTATACTAGCGTCGTCACTTACAGCCTACTTTGGAGCCGTAGAACATAGTATCGAAGTATATTAGTAGCCAGTGACACGTAATGCCTGGGTGTGTATATAGCCACAATTAAAACTTATGTAAAATGTAGTAAAATAATTTTTTGAAATTTAGTCTGTTTGGAGTTATTGATCGATCAAGCAAATTTCACACTCTTGAAGGAAGATTATGCTCTTCTTATCCGAGAGTTTGTCACAGGCCTGCATCCCGTATAGTTTTGTTCTGAATAATAATAAATTGTCCAGCCTATTTATTTAAAAAGAAAGAGTGATCGAGGGGAGGTAATTCATGGTTTTGAATGAAACAGAAAGTAGCCTGTTCCCGTGCCGCCAAAGTCGTCCATATACACCCTACCCCATTCAGAAATGCGATAAACCTTACACTTTGATGTTTTATGTTTATATAAACATATTTGATTATATAGTTTGGGTTCCCTTTGTTTTTCATTAAACCTGTCGCCAAAATATATCAAACTCCCCCTCGTTCAAAATGTTCTTGCGACGCCCCTGTCGGCCCGGTAAATCTTAATCGTAGATTCTAGATGAAATTAATTTCTTCTTCTTCGTTTTGCTCTTAAAAAGAAAGAAGAACTGATCAATTCTTCAGCTCAATAGCCCGGTATCTGCACGAATAAAAATCAACAATGAGGGCGCAGTAGCATTATGTCAAGATCGTCATCGCCTTTATTTCCCGAGTGAATGAAATCATGGAGTTAGTCCATGATAAAATTAATAGGTAGCCGCGCTTACTCTACGGGATGAGGTACGTGGGACACCTCAATTATTTATTACATAAACATAAGTGATAATGGTGGTGAATGTAATCTATTTACATAATACTGAAACGGAAACGGAACTCCATTTACGCTATTATCAGGAACAGCTCAACATTATGAAAATGCGCCACGGGAGAGATTCGAGCCATCACAGCGGACCTGCTCTTTTCCAGGCCTCTTTATACGACCCACCCCCCCCCCCCCCCCCACACACACACGTACACACACACGCGCGCGTACCGAAACGCCCACATCTACAAAGACACTTGGAACATACAAATTAAAATCCTTAGTGGAAGGTGTTTAGTACTGTTGTTCAATAACTGATCGCACTATAAGGAACAGCTCATGAAACAGCATTATGAAAATGCGCCACGGGAGAGATTCGAGCCATCACAGCGGACCTGCTCTTTTCCAGGCCTCTTTAAACGACCCCCCCCCCCCACACACACACACACACACGTACACACACACGCGCGCGTGCACCGAAACGCCCTCATCTACAAAGACACTTGGAACATACAAATTAAAATCCTTAGTGGAAGGTGTTTAGTACTGTTGTTCAATAACTGATCGCACTATACAAGGTATCCCCCTCCCCATCCTCCCACTCTCGTCAAAGCAACTAAGTACGGAAAACTCGTCCTTTCGTAAAATGAGGTGAATATAAACAAAAGTTAGAATATATATAGTTTTTGACAATTATTATCTTTTCCCAATACAACGTTTTCCTCATCCCGACCACGTTCTTTAGTACACCAATCATGGTTGCATGTTCATTTGTATTCATTCTTTACAAAGTCGTTATTTGTATTATTGATATCATTTCATTGTCATAAGTATTTTTTAAATCCTTGACTTCCTTCTCCTTAAAATCGATCAACCAAAATAAGTACCTCATGTACGTGCGACGAACATTAAACTAAGTCTCGGGGGCAATAAGGGACATTTTTAATTCATCTCGTCATTATCATACTCTCTCTCTCTCTCTCTCATATTAATTTTCTCCTTCTTCATCTCTTCTTTTTCTCTCCTTTCTATGTCATTCAGTCTAATTTCTTTCATTGTCATTTTCATGGGTCACATTATCTTCCTTAAATGGCCACTACCCCTCACTTTCTTTATATAATTTCTATCACTCTTTCCTCACGGACAGTTTAGACAACAAACATATTTGTCTAATTTGATTTATTTCAATTGATTTGTCTGCATGAACTTCCATTAATAATATTTCAAATAACATCAAGAAGAATAGAATGTTTTACATAAAACAGTGATAAACAATCAATCATTTCTGAGATAAAAGAAATGTAGGAGAGCTATCGAAAATTTAAATATGAATTACCGATACAATCTATACGTGTTAATCAATGGAAACGGTTACAACATTTCGGTTCAGACAACATCTGACCCCGACACTGAACGTCTTAATATTCATTTTTTTACCCTTTAAATTCGTTTGTTGTTTGCTTTTATTCTTAGTTAAAGTTTGAATAACGAACACAGAAAGACAAAGGGATCAAGGAAAGAAAGATTTGTTTTAAAATATCCATTACAAGATATTTGAATCTAATTTTTACCGGATAAATTCATTAATACATGTATTTACAATATTGATACATATCAATTATTACGAGTGACGGATGTAAAGCAGTTATTTCAAATTTTATTGGCCTATATATATGTTTTAAAGATGTTCATAGAAAATAAGCAAAGAAAGAGCAGGCAAAAAATGGTTCACTTTATCATTATTTGCTATACCCTTTCTGCTTTGCCCGCTTGTTTTTATCTTGTCTTATTTTCAATACCCTTTCTTTGACTTTGTACATATTGAATTCAATGTAAGAAAAATGGATCTTCTTACAAGACAAGTTCTGCTTTTGGGGTATCTGTCTCCTCCTTCTTTGCTATGCTTTGTTTACTCTAACTACAGGCTAAAATAATAATTATAACCTGTTCAGAAGAAATGATTGTAAATTTTGGCTCGATTACAGATATCATTCTGAGTACAGCAAACAACTCGTGCATAAAATGACTGCACAGTATTAACGAAAGCTAAACATTCTACCAATAAAAATACTACCGAAACAAAGGTTAATACATGTTATAGTATAGAAACCCTTCATCAGGCGCATCGTCAAAACATCAAATAGTATATTATCTCACCTCCCTGGTCTGACAAAGCCGTTGTAAAAAATGTTGATGATGTACTTATTCAATACATTTTTCCCATGCCGTCGTAAGAAATAGTGGTGATGTTTTTGATCAATAATCCCCCCACGACATCATTAGAAATGGTTACAATAATACATCTATCCTGAAGATATACATGTAGTTTTAGGAATTATGCAAATGCAAGAAATCAAAGAAAAAATCATTCACTCTCTTTAAAACAAGAATAATATTCATGATCCGATCTATTAAAACAAAATGTTGTTACAGACAGATGCAATGATCATTCGTGGTCTTCATTTAACAAACGTTCTTGGATTGAAATAAGTGATAACATAAACATATATAATATATCCAAGAGCTGCTAAATGTATTAACGAATTTATATTGTACAGTACACTAACATTTATGAAAAACGTAAACGCATTATAATATAACACCGTCGTATTTATACGTCACCCAGCCGTCCATGAAACTGGTTGATGATCGTCTATACGAAAATTGAATTGCACTCGATCTCTCAAGAAAAATCAATTGTTTTAGTAAACATAATTTAAAATCATTGCATTTTGCAGTGGAAATCGACGCTCTGTAAAAGGGAATTAGAACTTCATTTGAGCTTTTGCCAATATATTTTGGGATGCATTCAACACCAAAACAAAGGATCCCTAATATCAAAAGATTGCATTGAACTTGTATATTGACAGAGCCCTTGGCTGTTTCACTTCAGTGGTGGCACTATGATTTAACAGTTGGGGGGGGGGGGGGTCCAATAAATGGTAATATGTTGAAACAAAGTGTAAATCTGAGGCTGGTCTTTTTAAATAAAAACTTCTCGGAAATTTGTCTTAATTGTTTTCAGGAGCTGACAAGAGATAACAGGGGAGTGGGTTGAACCTAGGGGTCGTCATTGCACAATATAGGCAAATATAATTATATAAACCTGATAAATAAAATACTTAATTTCATGATTTTACAATGTCTTCATATTTAGGAGGTGGGTCTAAAATTAGAACAGAATCACTTAGCATTGTTGGCGATGTCATGCCGCCATCTAGCTCGGAATAATCTGGTGGTGGCACTGAATAAGGTGAGGGCAATGCGTTGGTTCGTGGCATTCCTTCAGGTGTGATATTGGGCTGGCTGGTGATGAAATGCGATGGGCGTGGCAATCCATTGGGTGTGTCCAGAGCTGGTGTGGGGAGGACAGCTGCCATCGGTCTCAAAGGCGGTGTCGTGGTCGAGTGAGGATAGGAAACATACCCATGGGGATACACTCTTGCTACCGGCTCGGGTGGCAGACCATCCGGAGAGTTTGGAAAGGACTGCATAGGACTCCCTGGTGAAGATGTCACAGCGGTGTCATCCAAAGGACTGGTCAGAGGCACACGTCCATGATGGTAACGTGGTATTGGGATAAGGGAACGACTTTGCTGACCATAAGCACTGCGGCGTTTATAAGCATGACCACAGAATGGAATAGCAATCAGCAAGACTACAAACCCACTCCATCTTCTGAACCCGGTCGTGCGAAAATATCTTTCATCTTCACCTGTTGAAAGACATAATGAAAGAGAAAAGGAATAAAATGTTGGTTTTGCTTTTGTGATTAGTGCAAAAAAGCGCAAGAATGGTTAATTCGTTGTTTTGCATAATCATGATAGTGATTGGATAAAACGTATGAAGTAATACAAAAACGCAAGAAATGTTAGTACATTGATTGCATAATATTGGATAAAACGATTATATTCTGGATGTCGGTTTCAGCGCGTAAAAGAAAAGCTATAGTTTTAGGCCAAGTGAAAAAGCCTTGAGCATTTTTGGGGATAGATCCGAGCGAGGTGTGAATTTAGCTGCAATTAAGTTTTAAGAGAGACGGAAACCTTTACTTGCTTTAACATACATAATTATAAAATACACAAATGGAGTTGAACGTATTTCAATTATTATAACATGGCATTGAAAACAATGATTTCTGACTGAGTAGGGGGGGGGGGGGGTCTTCTTATTTCTACGAAGTATCTAATTTTTATATGAATAATATATTTAACCATTATAATGCCAACTTGAAAATGCTAGATGAAATACAGTTGGCAGCAAAAGGAACTTACTGCTTCCGCATGATACCCCAATATCATTATCCCGGTTGCATTCCAGTCCACTGCACACACTATAGGAGCATTCCATGAGGGACATCTCTCTCCCTTCACAATGGATCTTATGTAGTCTCACATCAGAGGTGCCACGCCCAAACATCCCGTTGTGGTAGACGGCCACCGCCCCTGATCTATAACCCATCTGCCTGCATGCCACAACAGCTTCGGGTAAGCCGAATCCACCACCGTCGAAAATGGTCACCCATTCCTTGCTGCGGTAAACTTCTAGTCTGCCGTTTCTTGACGAGGTTCCATGCACAAGATGTATTTCACCGTCATCTGATTTTGGGGAAAGAGAAGTAAAGAGAAAAAGATATCTAAGTGAATGGGGGCGGGGATGAGTTGTATGATGTAGATAATAGTAGACACGATTCCAAAACAACAACGAAACAAAAAAATATTATATATTTTCCCCTTCAAAATTAATTATTGAACCTTCACCCGGTATCGCCAGTGCAACTTTCATTAAGTATTATACAAAACAGTGCAATTTTGTAGCTTGACATGTAAAAAGGGTGGTATCTTTAAAGCACGTTAATACAGTTTATTTGAACTCCCATGTATCGAGTAATAATAAATCCAATGTATATAATTTTAGCAAGTGAGATAACAGGGAAAGATAACATACACCAATTTAAATCCCTAAAAGCTGATTTGCAACGGCTCAATAGACTATATACAGCGACTGTTGTAATTTATTTGAAATTGGGGGAGTAACTTCAACTATTATACACCTTCATGTTTACTAGAAATGTTGAAATGCTTCACAATAATTTTTTGTTAAACTATATCATTTTCTGTTCTCTATCCCCTATTAAAATTATTGATTGTCGCATTATCAATAAATATTGGGAATATTCATTTTTTGAGAAATTGGTTTAATCATCAGTACATAATATTGTAAAATTAAATAATCTTGCATTTCTTTACAATTCAAATCACTTACGTTGAGCAAGCACCAAATCAATGACGGTTAGGATAAAAGAAAGGACGACCATGGACTGTAGGGCCACCTTCGCTGTCGACCAACCGCCCATTCCTACACCCATTCAAGAAAATCGATGCCACGAAAATCTGCATACAGAGAAGAATGACATTCGTGATAATGACTGCAATAAGAAAGCGATATAATAATAATAACTAGATTTGTAATACTTGTTTGGAACAAGTATAGGTGGGCTGATCCAACAAAAAATTGAGACAAAATAAAGGGTACATTTGAGATAGCTTTTTGTCTCAGCTACAACATACTCGAAGTTCAGCGTAAATGAAGCAAAAACAACGTAGATATTGCTCGCGAAAGACGGGAATGTAGAATCGAGTTTTGAGAAAAAATCATGTCCCATAGAGAATACACGCAAAATGTGAAAATTGACATGCCTCCTTTAATCACAAAAATACGCCATGATGCTTTTGTCAAAATTAACAATTGTGATGACTTCATTAGTAGAAAATTGTCTCAGCTAGAACATTTCAAAATTTGGAAGAAAATCAATCACTATTTACAGAGATACAATCAATTTTCCATAAATATGCTGACGTCATAATATGCAAATTGGAATTTTGAGTTCGGAGGCCATTATGATGAAGTCATGAGTTAATTGAAGGTCAAATGTGACATGAAACAATATCTCCGAATCATACTCTTATCAAAATATGAAAAAAAATTGGGGTCACCTTGCATCCAAAAGAGCTACAATGGATTTTGTATAGGTATGTTTTTGCCCATATATGCTATGTATTACAAGAGTTCGCGCGCACGGAGATTTATGTTAAACGGTCGATCATTCCGTTATTAATAGTCATAAAGAGACAAACATGGTATCAATTTGTTTGTATATATATGTGGAATATTATAAAAGAAAAAAAAAGTGCGAATCTATGTTGTGTAATACTTTTACGCGCGAAAACGCGCGCGCGATTTTTTATAAAATGCTTAGAATGGCCTAAAACGTATGCAAAATGATTTTAAGACGATTTTGAGCATTTTAAAATTTTGCGCGCGCATTGACGCGCGGGTTCTTTGACCTGAAATTGACCAGACGGATATTGACCTTGATCATGATAAATATGAATGAGAAATAGCTTTCGGTTATGAAGATATGATCATGAGCTGATTTTCGTAAAATTTTACAAAATGGCGCCTAGATGACGTCATCAGTGAAAGTCAATGTTGAAAACGTTATTGTGCTTTGTACATATGCCTATACATATGTGTGCCAAATTTGAAGTCATTTGATTGAGCCATTTTCATGTTATCTTGTCCACAAAAAAGTGGTTAGAAATAAGTAACATAAATAATAATAATAAATAAATAAATAAATAAAGGCAATTCTAACGAAATTATAAGGTGGTCTGTACGTTATACAGCCCACCTGATAACGTTTTATTTACCCAGGGTAGCCACTTCAGTTATGAAACTGCTCTTCCAGCGGGCCCTGCATAAGTAATATGTTATTATTAAAAGAGGCCTATAAAAGAGGCCTATATATTATATTTCAATTAAATTAATATAAAGACTCGGAGGCATTAAAACCCTAGCAAAAAAAAATCTTACTATTTTCCTTGCCCAATCACGGCTTTATGAAACATGCTTCGGTGATTGCTCCGAGGTCAATATCCTTCAGTGTCCTGTCTAACGGAATCAACATTTAAAGTAAAAATTAACCCCAAGGAATAAGTGTGTGTATGCTGAAAATCATATTGATGTACACTATTTCTTGCGAAAATGTAGAATAAATATATAAATGAAGATATTATTGGCATGATCTGATGTCTTTTACCATGACAGGCGCAGCTATTTTCTTAATAACGTAACACACCAGGCAAACTTGTACATGTATCATGCACAGGGGCGGCGATTTCTGTTAATGACCGGGGGGGGGGGGACGAAATGCGAATTTTTTTTACGAGGATGTTATGCGAGGGAGCGTAGCGACCGAGCGAGATTTTTTTTGCAATTTTATTAGTCTAAACGCTGCACTCTTGGGCCTTCCAGAGCCTAAAAGTGTGTTGCAGTCATTATTCAGTATATGCTATACAATTTGTTTTGCACTTTTTCAAATTTCCAGGGGGGACGATCCCCTCCTAAAAAAATTGAGGGGGGGGGGACGTGTCCCCCCCCGTCCCCCCCCCCCGGGATCGCCGCCCCTGATCATGCACCAAGCTCTAGTTGGAAAGACTTGTTATTTCAATAACAAAACCTGTACTATTCAATAAGAGAAATTCATAGCTATAAGAAGGCAAAAGTAATATTTGGTGAAAATATATATCGGGGTTACATTTACTCATTTATTTAGAAATACTAAAATAAAGCAGTTGCCATATTTACTTCATTTACGCGAAACTTCACACTGTCTAGAAGAGCAAGAACTTACGTTCTGACAATGAACTCGAAGGACAAAAGATTATTGCAGGTGAATGAAGTTTTTTATCACCACACACATGTAAAAAAAAAAGAAAAAAAAGGCATCCATAAATTTGAATACATTTACTTGATAAACCGCTTTGCATAGTTTACGTCACGTTGTCAGGAAAATGGAGACAACCACATCGTGCTGAGAATCTTGGTTTATACATTTTCATATACTTTGGTGGGGAATCTTATAGATTGATAGCCAACAATACAATAAATCTCTAAGAATAACAACATTTCTTTCTTTGGCGTGATTCCCTTAACCTAAAACCCAATTGCACCCGTCACTTGATATCGTTGACGCATCTTCGAGCATTGAACCGCCCCTATTTGCCGATGAATAAAATACTAAAGTCTCTTAGTCTAATGGTAGCCACATCCATCTCGAAAATGCTATACATAATCTTGAAAGTGATTGAGGCTCTGTATAACAAATAGTATCACCACATGCAGGAACATCTACGCGCTTTTATGGATAATTATTAGTGTCACACACTCACACACACGATATCATTTCAACCATGTATGTTAGAGCCTATGCATACCATCTCGTTTAAAATAAGTAATCACAAACTTTTTTTTCTCCTAATGAGCTAATACTGGTCAATGTTTTGTTGCTTCTAATATCACTTTGCTATTATAAATCCGCTGGAGCCTGACGAACATGTCAAAAACGTATAATATTGCGTTGATTCCCACACTGAATCCAGTTTAATATGGATTATGATTGTACAAGCAGTACTATATAGTGAGAACTATAGCAAGAGCTTTTCTTTCTCTATTTTTTCTTTTAAAATTCTGCATAAGACTGAGTTGCCGTCATGTTATGTTGTATATCAGTGTAGGCTTCATGCAGGATTGGGAAAAGAAAAAATGAAATTGTCAAACGTATATACCAGTAATACCATTATCATTATGAAAATATAAGAATGTCTCAACAAATCCATGACATTTATAGCTGGCGAAAGAATGAACGATCATAATCTATATTGCCTTATCATACAATCGATAGAAAACCACATTCAAGCTACGCCTTGCATCATGTAAAAATCAAAACATTGTCTCGATGGTTAAAAGGGTAATCATAATCATCGTATAGAGCAAATACATCCACTATATATTATTGACCTACCTTTATCTTTTCTACTCAAAGTCTCCCACTGAAAGAATAGATCCAATATGCGATACAATGTAAGTCTTCACTTCGTTAATATATTATATGATATCATAAAGATGATGTTCGCAGATCTCTGCAGTTTCCCATTTAGTAAAAATGCAACAATGGCAACTAGGTTAGATATTAATAACACTATCGTATTGATGAAGGGCGGTGTAGCCTATAGCATACGCGTACACTGGTAGGCTATGGCGGCGCCGCGGTATACACACGGCTTGCATGCATGGCAAGGGCATTCCTAATCATGCTAATGCTAGCAATGGCGATCCGACCCAACACACACATTCCAGTTTCTGTGTGTATTACACTTGTCTATGGGCATAGTGCATGAGAGAGGCATACCAATGGCGCGGTAATAATTGCGCCATTAGAGAGAGAGAGAGAGAGAGAGAGAGAGATAAAGAGAAAAGGTGGGGGTGGGTGGGGTTAGGCATTATAAGCCATACATGCTTAGCTTTGAGCGAGATAGTGATACAGCCAAGGAGACAAGACTAATGGATTACGTAATATGTTTCAATGTGCAGTCAGAAAATACATAAAACATCACGCTCGTGCTATCTACTGAAGATAGAAATGTAGAGCCCATGTCAAAGAGTATGGAGACTAGCTAACGTGTACGATGAGGGGGCAAGAAATGTATCTAAAGTAAAATACTTTCCGAAAAAACGGATAGGGATAAACCAAAACAGTCATAATACTTACAAAGTGTATTGGACATATGCATTGATTTGTTGTGAGTGTTGTTAATAGTAGTGGTTGTTAATTATTGTTTGACTGCTTGGTAGCCGCTATCCCAAGGCAAGTATTAGAAATTACAACGAATTCGTAACTTCAGTATTAACATTTTTAAAAGTCAATTAGAAGTGCTTTCCCTGTTAATACACACCATTCGTTAGGGTACAGTATAAGCTTTTTAATCTAACTTTTAACACATTTTGTCAAGGCTAGACGAGTAGGCGTATCTAGCAAAAATTGAAGAAATCCCCCCCCCCAAAAAAAAAAACACAACAACAACAAACAAACAAACAAACAAACAAGAGATGACGGTAATTACTGTCGAATGGTTATGTTGAGTTGAAATATCTATAGCTTATGTTTGATATAGCAGAACTCCTTTCCTAAATTTAAAGGCCTTTTCAAGTCAATAAAGCACACCATAAAAATGCACCAAATTGTACAATTACACATAATTATAAACATGCAGAAAGCACTCACCGCGGGAGGGGGAGGACACCCTCCCCTTGTTCTCACACATGCCAGACTGTATCTGAATGTATAAACGCCATTGCACACACACACACACGCACCCTCACGCACACACACACGCGTACGCACACACACACACACACACACACACACACACACACACGCACGCACTCTCACGCCCACCCACATACAAAAATTAAGTGTGTTCCTTGAAATGCATCGAAATTTTAATTTGCTGACAGAATCTAATGTATTAATTAACGATTTGGAAGTATAATTTTTGCATATCATTTAGATTATTTTGATGTATGAATTTCACAATAGTTTGAAAGATAAAGGAATTAGAATTGTTTATAACTTTGAATAAGACCAAGTTTTTCTTTAATGATCATTTTATTGGGAGCATCCCCAATAAACGCAGTCATAATAATCATTGCTATGAAACGTTGAGCCATGAACATGAGGAAACTTCCTCTCTCTATTATCTCCTCCCACTGCCCCCCCCCCACTCTCTCTCTCTCTCTCTCTCCCTATCTCTCTCTCTCTCTCTCTCTCTCTCTCTCTCTCTCTCTCTCTCTCTCTCTCTCTCTCTCTCTCTCTCTCTCTCTCTCTCTCTCTCTCTTCTCTCTCTCTCTCTCTCTCTTCTCTCTCTCTCTCTCTTCCTCACACTATTTTCTCTGTTTATCTTTTTCTCATCCCACTATGCATTATGGCTTACCTATCTCTTTGATGATAATCATAATTTATATTATCTGAGGATTTATTTGCATTGCTGGGACCGCCCCTTCCCCTCCCCCATGGCTTATGCATTGCTAATAATTCATCGATTTGAAAAATAGTAGGCCTATCAACTAATATAACATGATGTTAAGAAACTGTACACCTTCAGCTTCCCCGTATTAGGTCTATGCGGGCCCTTTGATCATCAACCTTAAAGAGCATCTTGCTATTCATTTGTATTTATTTATTTTCGACATAATATGTGAAGGATCACCCTTTTCAGCTAAAAGCTGGTCTCCAAAGGGGACCATCGATTAAAATAAAGAGAGACATCCGAAAATTGTTTACACCGACAAACTGACTGCGCCCGCTTGGCAAATAGCTATATAAATGTATATAGCTATTACATGTACGTGATGCTAATTACATTTGGCCTAATTATTGCCTGCGTGAGAGAGGTCGATAGTGATATTGATGATAATTTCTAACGCACTAATTACCAAAATATAAATTAGAGAATTGTATTATGGTCTGTGTTCAATCTCCCTGGTTCAACATGCATATTCAAATCCGGCCACTGCAGGTGTTAATCCACCCCAGAGCATTGTGTTGATATTGAAGGCTAAAGTTATTATTATACTTATTACTCGCTTCGATATTACATTCGGATAAAGCTAGATGAAGTTTCCTTTTGATTTGCTGACCGACTCGATCTTTTATAATCGCTTGGGATTTAAGGACCATATAATGTTTTACATAAGATCAGCAGTAATTTTGGCTTGATTAATAAGCTAAAATATAGTTTGTTACCCGAACATTTGATAACTTTATATCATTCCATTATTTTCCCTTATTTGAAATATTGTATGGGCTACCAATGCAACACAAACTGAATTAGATTCACTATTTAAAGTTCAAAAGAAATGTTGAAGAATAGCTACCAATTCTCATTATATAGCACATCCGCACCTTTATTTAAGAAGTTATCATTATTAAATATAATGATATAAAAAAAGCAAGAAATCGCAACCTTCATGTACAAATATAAAAACAAGTTGTTACCTGTCCCCTTTTCAGACCTCTTTCAATATAATAGTCAAATTCATAATTATAATACACGATTTTTCAACAAATGTCATTTATGGTCTATAGTTATGAAGCTAAATCAATGAGTTATCTAGGTTAAACAATGGAATATGATTCCCCAAGTAATAACGAAATTACAATTCATATCTTCTTTTAGAAAACAATATAAAATCTTACTACTAAATAATTATTAATGAGCACATGTTGTTGATTTTTTACCAAAAAAAATCTGAACCTCCTTTCATTGTTGTTTTGTTTTCTTTTCTTTACTTTCCCCCCTCTATATATTTTTTCTCCTCCCTATTTCACTTTCTCTTCTCTTATAGATAGTTGAAGTGTTTGTACTTTGCTTATTTTACTTGATTTGTTGGTTGGTTGGTTGGTTTTATTTTCCGTATAAAAATTCATATACATACAATAATACAATTTACAAATATAATACAAATCAAGAATGAAAAACGGTCGGAATGCTCCATTCAAAGCCATTATCAAAATGGCTCTGTTCTTCCTAGAGGTCCAGCATGTGCTTATATTAGTTTGTATTTATTTTTGTTTTGTTTTTCATTCTGTAATGGGCGATCTAATTTCACAGGTTTTCGGAACCTTCATGGAAAGCCCCGCCATATCTTTTGTAAACATAGTTAAAATCTACAGTTACTTTGTATATTTTGATTTTTTTATTGCGAAATAAATCTGAATTGAAATTGAATTGAATTTCGTAGAGATCAGAATTAAAGTGGATCTCTTTGAATTTGTACTATGCTGCCCTCTTTTGCCTTAATTTAGACAGTGTAAACCAGAGAAAACTGTTGTATGTTGCTATGCATGTTTATCGGTGTCAGGGAGTCCAACGATCTTGGAAATTATGCATTTTGTACCCAAATACGTCGCCGGTGAGGATTAATAGGGGAAAGAGGACTAAAACCAGATTATAATGATCGCCATAGAAACTTTGCCGAGAGAGATCGTTCCCTTGAAACCACATCATCTCAATCGGAGAGGCAAGTTGAATCGAAACAAACTTCGTCCAGTCATCCGACCCACGAGCACCCAGCAGAACCCCGACGGGCTGGCCTGTTCTCAGCTGACACCGGTCAAACCACCGAGTCCTACCAGGTCTATTCTATCATGTGTTGCTGAAACTGAAAGTAGAAGTGATGCTGCTGTTTCTGCAACAGGAAAATGTCATCATAGGAAATTAAAATCTGGAAATGCAGACAAAAAGTTGAAGCCACCCGTACCCGGGAAGTTACCTCGGCTGAAAAAGAAAGACGAAGGGCGTGTCAGTAGAAAATCTGGCAAGAGTTCAACTTCAACATCAAGTTCAAGCACAACAATATCGACATCAGAAAGTCAAAGGAGACCGAGTCTAAAAAATGAGTTGATTGTAGAAGATGGAGATACAGCCAAATCTCAAAAGAAAAAGACAAAATCTGTCTACATCTTAGAGGCAATCAAACCAAATAATGTTCTATCAGAAAAGGAGAAGTTCATGAGATTAAGGGGTCATTATAATCCCCAATTTGAGTATGATAATCCTGCTTCAGAAAAAGTGATTAAGAGTTATAGTCAAGTTTACAACAAATTGATACCTCAGGTAAGAAGTAAATATTTTTTTTGTAATAGATCTACTAATATAATAGCTTTAGTACCTTTGCATTCAAGCCAATTCTTCATTAAATTCTAGGATTGTATTTTGTTTCAATCTAACATCTTGAAACCAGACCCAAAGCCATAGCCTCGGACCAAAAATATAGGGTCTAGATATTTCTAGATAAATTTAGTATATAATTGTGATCTGCTTCCATAAGTTCCATTCAAAGGCAAAGGAAGAAGGATACTAGACCGAAAGCTTCAGTCTCTATAATCGTTGGTTGTTCCACTGAGACTACGTCTGGCTCCACTAGACCTCCTAGTGCCGTGGAGCCAGACGTAGTCTCAGTGGAACAACCAACGATTATAGAGACTGAAGCTTTCGGTCTAGAAGGATACAAGCATACTACAAATACTAAACTTTAATTTGAATGGTAATTAATCTCTTACCCCAATAATTTGTCAAGATGAAAAGATGACTGGTACCTTATTTTTTTCATAAATCACTATTGTATTGTCTTTCAATTCCAATTTATAGATCATAACAAGGCACTGTTAATAAGCAAGAACATTACTGCAAGCTTCCAGGAAATGATCACCTCTGCTGGTTAAATGCTTGAATAATTTTTTTTTAAAGGTTGTCATAGTGAGCTGATAATATTTAATAATTTAATACTTTTTATGTAACTTGATTTTTTTCTTGAACTAGGCTTTGCGGATCATGGACAGTGCTCTAGATAGATATGGCAGTTACGAGGCATTTGAGGAGGCCATTGCTGGGGATCGACTGACAGAGACAGAGTTCAACTGGCTCTTCAAAGATTTTGTGACTGCAGAAGGACTTGACAACCAAGTCCACTTGAATCTAACCCCTGACCTGTTGTCTAGAGCAGTTATGACAAGACTGAGGTCGCGACCCACCATGAATGTCAACAGTAAGGTATTGAGGAAAGGTTGGGCTAGAGGCTTACTTCAGCATGAGATTGGTAAGTTTATCAAATGATGCATCTGGTAATATACACAAACCACCTTTAACTTTAAGCAGTATGGCCTACATACCGATTTGGCAACAAGCCTCCCAATTAATATTGTTATTTGAAGTTCATAGATTAATACGAGAATAATAGAAATCGTAAATGAATGCAAAGTTATAAATGTTACCATCTTTTTCAGGCTATATTTTAATTTGGTCGCTGTGGTCTTATAATTTTTTTTTGCAAATTATATACTTTAGAAAATAGCGATTGTAATGTTTCATTCTTGTTATACTTTTGAGAGAAGAAGGCATTTTAGTTTGTAGATGGTAGTCTCAGTGTGATCTTACTCAAATTTTCTTGGTTACTAATGCTGGTATCAACTATTAAGAATACCGTCATTCACATACTGTTTCCAAGTCACAATTCACAATTCAAGTTTGTTTATTTCCACCAGGCACTCACTATATGAGAAGTGCCAACAATCGCTACCAACCCTGGCATAATAACCGAGGTCGGAAGCGTCATTGCCTACTGCCTATGAATCCTACAGAGGAGGGTTTAGCCAGTCTTCACAGTGTGCTAGGGAGGGATGACCCTTGTCTGTGGAGGTCAGCTATGCTTTACTACACTGTCTATCAAGCCTCTCTGCTGCCTTTCAGGGAATTGTTTGAACACTTGTCAAGGTTCATCCAAAGTCCAGAGGTTCGCTGGGACTATTGTATGCGGGCCAAGCGAGGGCAAGTGGATACTTCTAAACCAGGTTGGTGAATGTCTTTCACTCAGATTGTACTTTCTGCTACAATGAAGAATAATAAATCAAACATTTATATGTATCCCTAATACTTTTAAAGATAATATTGCAGTAATAAATAAATTTAGTACCTGTTTCCCCATACAATGCAACTGCAAGGTGCTGTTCCTCAGTCTGTATGCTTATATATTATATTTCTTAGAAATGCAGGAGGTTTGTTCCAGAGTATTAATTGAGTACGTCAATGACCTGAATTTTAAAGCCAGCCTGTTTTCGGGACTAACATAAGTTGGAGCCATTGTTAATTTGAGCTCCTTATGCTTGTAGCTCATTTCACCTAATGTTTTCTCTTTTTGCCATATTCATCTTTCATTGACACAAGGTTGATGGTAATGGATTACTCAAATCATCAGCATTACAGCTGTATACGTGTAGGTGACACACTCTCAAAGATTATGTCATACATTGTATAAACTGTACATATTAGCCTAATCCATGTAGTGTTTAAATACTTAATGTATGTGGCCATGTTCTTTCCTGTCTGTTGTCAAGGTTGTTTCAATAAGGATCAAGTATACCTCAATGGAGCTCTTCAGGTTCTACGCTTCCGCTTTGAGATTGACTTCCATGCCCTGGTCAAGCTGGGTCGTGTGGCCTTCCAGGACGTAGAGCGATTGCGACATGAAGCAGTCCTTGCAGAAGGTGTCGTCAGCGTCCCGTCCTTCATGGCAGATAAAGACAAATACCTGGAGAAACTGAGTGAGATCAGACTCAAGAACAAGCTGACAGATAAAGAGCTCTGTGAGGTGTTCCCTACAATGGAAAGCTGCATTTGATCATTACCTCAGGTTGTAATATGCTGGGTTTTTGTTAATGCTTGTTCTATAGCATGTATCGAGGAGGTTTATGTGGCAGCTGTAGTTTTAGTGCCTGTCATTTTGCTTTGCTTCTTCTTCTTCCTTTTGAGTACAGACCTCTTTATAGATTATTATCGTACTATACTGGGGTCGTGTGCAGGTAGACCACTACACTGGGGTTTCCCCCTACTCTTATAAGAATAGTGCAGTGGGTTCTTAACATGCAAAGGTAGTGACTCTTCTCTACACAGGGCCTTCATTTAACATCCTATCCGAGGGACTGATGATAGGACTTGTTCGTTTGTGTCTTTGTGAAATTAATGACAATTTTTTACAGTTATTACAACATCATCAGGGCAGTCCTATATTTGGAAAAGTATTCCAATTTGAAGAGTTTCAGTCTAAGCAATAGATAACAGTACACTGTGGGTCTTTTAAAAATAGATCTAATTATAATTTTTCTTTTTAGATGGATGTTTTTTATAAAAATAGATGTATTTAGGGTTACACAATAACTCCAGTTGTCGGTTCAAAATAAAATGACATAACTTCTGCCAAGATCATCTACGAGCATCAGTTATTTGAGCCTATTGGCAATTCATTTTAGGCTGTATAAAGCACAGAGATGTAAAGTCTATGTGATGATTGTCAATTTAATTTTGGAACATCCTGTTGATCAAATTGATATAATTGGGGGATTCCCATATGTAGAAATTCTTTGTATCACAATTTTAATATTAGTGAAAAGTATTAGACATGCGCTGGATTTGAAGGAGAAATCCCCTTTTCTGACAGATTGCTGACAAGTGTCATGACAAAACAGTATCTTAAAAAAAAACAGGGTACAGAATGTACGGTACTCTTACACATTTAATACATACATACATGTACTGTATGTACTTTAATATCCAATGTCCCTTAGTCGTGGAAAAGGTGATTAAATTTTGATCACTGTTTTGTGAGTACTAGTTATTTTCAATGAGTGAGATAGATATATATTTCAATAATTTAAATCAGCCCTATCTGTCATTCTTTACTGTATATTATATAGATTCAAATTTGTTACAACATGTACGTATATGTTTTAACTTGTATTGCTTTAAACTGATATAGGATACGATCAGTTTAAGTCTGTTTCTTCTAATATCTAACTATTTACCACATAACTACTACATAATATCATTTCAGTTTGCCATCTTCAGGAAGGGTGATCTCCCAATATCTTTCAACACAATGAGTATTATTGAAGACAATGATTTCCTAGAACATGAATATGTAGTAAACTGTGTTTTGTAGGAGTTCAGGTTATTAAAATACATATATATATATAAAGTATTAAGAATACCAAAGTAGCATTGATATTAATCAGAGCTGTGAGAAAGTTTGCCAAACTTTTTATTTCTTGATCATTAGAATCAACATTGTAACCAAGGCTGAGCGTGTAGAAAATCAAATTAGATTCATGTCAACTTGCCAATGTTGTTGCATTTTGCAAAATAAGATATTGTATAGTTTTTTGTTTGTTTTTTGTTTTTTTCTTCTTCTAAATATATCATTGATTGTACATTAAATATGTTAGGATACTAACTTGCCAATAGGAATTATATGAATCAAAGACAATCATACATTGATTTGACATTTATGTAAGTTGATGAATGAACAAGGAAAATTATGATTCATAAGTGATAGAGATCAATCGATTCTTTGTTCCATATGTTGAACAAATTACTGCAATTTGAAAGTTTTAAGTTTAGAATAAAATTAGTGTAATTGTTTGAAGTTTGTATTATTTTTTTCCTTGGTTTGAATCTATGACAGGATGCACAAAATATGACTACCGGTCACTCATGTTTCTACTGAAAAGCTGATGGGAGTAATTAGTAAATCAAAATTGCTTTTAATAGATAGCCTTCCCGATAACATAAAAATCTTTGAGCTGTCAATATGTAATAACAGGTATCTGTTATCAAAGGAAAGGAAGGTTGCTTTTCTTCCCAGTGTATGAAAAGACACTTTAAATGTATTTTCTTACAGTGGCACAAATTAACTATTTTCTACTTTAAAATCATAACTTTTGTGAATGGTAAACAATGAATTTGCAACAAGAAACTTTTGTAAACTGCAAAAGAACAGTATTGTATCTACCCAGTATTATTTTGCAGAATAGAACTTTCATTTTATGATTGCCCCCGAAAGTTTCTGGCTTTATAGTAGTTGTTCTATGGATGTTTGAAGGGGATGCTTCTTTATGTTAATAATGCCTTGTCAATATATACTGTGGATTATATCTGTAACCAAATAACAACATTCCTGAAATTTATCAGATATACAGTATATCAGCTTTTAATTTTACTTTAAAAAAAAGCATGTAGGCCTCATATTTATCATTTCTGACTGTATCAGTGGATTGTGTCATTTGTGTTGATTCTTCACATGTACATGTTGATGAGCCTTTAAATCACCATGACATAGTTCGTTAATGATAATATCAACTACATTTTTGTAATTATTTGGTAAAATACAGGCATTTAAATGATTCCTTAAGATGACAAGATAAAAAAAAAGGAGAGGTTTATGATATCAAATAAGTTTGCACAAGTCAAGATTGAATCTTCATCTTTAAAATTGACATGGTATAAGAACTTGTATGGTCTCTTTTGAAAGGAATGGATTGCTAGCTAGTGTATTACCTGAAATTACGGATTTGAAGAAGAAAAAAAGATTATATTTCTAAATGCTTCCATATGTATCAATGTGCTGAATTTTATATCTTGTGCCTTTCAAGGTGTCTTTGAAATAAATGATTGTGGTGCTCATATCTATTCCATTCTTAACATGATCTTGTGAATTGTTGTTTGTTTAGTATCAAGTTTCAGAGAAAGGGAGACAGAAAAGTGAGAGAGAAGAGAGCGAAGTGAGAGAGAAGAGAGAGAGAGAAAAGGAGAGAGAGAAAAGGAGAGAGAGAGAGAAAAGGAGAGAGAGAGAGAGAAGAGGGGAGAGTGACAGAAAGAGCGCCTTTTTTTTGGGGGGGGGTGAAAAAGATCAATTGAAATGATGAATATAAAAGGAAAATTTAAAAGAGTGGAGACAAGGTGAGATGAAAAGGGGAGAAGAACAAGAACAGGAAATTAGGAGAAGAAGAGAGAAAAGATGAACTTTTAAAGTAGCAGTACATCAATGAACAGACCAAGCACAAAAAAGGTGAATGTCTAGGTTTCAATCAGCACATTATATTTCATGCAGAACAAACTCATCATTGAGCACATAACATGAAATATCAAAGCTTCTACAGATTTTGTCTCCCTCTTAAAGAATACAGACTGTAAGTATACACTTTGAAGACAAATTTTCTGTTGCCACTCATTAGGGTGAAAAGTATTGAAGTTCCCTTCCTCTTTAGTTTTTGATCAGTTTAACTGCCACATGTACTAAAAACAACCCAGAATAATATAAAGTAACAACTCGTACGGGTTACCGATCAGTTTTGACATTTCTAAAATACACCATACATTCTGAAATGGGGCAAACAGAACCACAAAGTCTGTAAATACACCTTCATGCTCTTTATTCCCTTGGTTTGAACAAGAAAATTTATGATCAATAATTATCAACAGCTTTCATTAGTGGTCTTCTATCATGAAAATGCTCACAGTACTCGGGGCTCACAACACTAAAAGGTGCCTGAAAATCTTACTCCAGATCCCCAAAATCAAAATGTCCATATATGGTAGGGGATATGCATATCAACTCCCTTCCTATGAAAGTTAATCACTATCAAATAATTAGCCAAGTGATAACAACTTTTTTCAAATACTAGTCAGAAACCAGATTTTTAATTTTCAACTAAATCTAATTCTTGCATTCAATTTCCACTGAATGTATCATCATTCATAACTACCCAAAATAAAATCTTGAACAAATAATGAATTTATCATTTTACACAGCTTTATTTTTCACAACTAGGCTTCAAATAAATATGTATAAATCTTTGCACATGATTGGATTCTACATTGCTTTATGATACTTGTGCAGACATTGTAACATGATAATCATCTACAATCTGCCTTCTATCAATCTAAGATTTTACAGCTACATCAAATATCTGATTCTATTATAAAAATCTGCTTTTCCCTGTCTTTTACATAGTCTTATACCAATGAAACCACTACATCACATTTTACAAGTATTATTTAGAACCTCATTAACACCTGTGCTATTAAGCACATTTACATAAATTGCACAATGTAATATTGAGAATGGGATTGTTTTTAAAGGGAATATATTTTGAAAAGAATAGCCCATTACAGTAAAAACTTCAAAAGCAAAATAATATTTGTAACTGTGAACGGCAATTGAATGTGGAAAAAAATGTAAACACAAAAACTTACATTTTAAAGGCAATCTTTAGCAGTGATAACAACATCAAATGTGATTTCATCTGATCAAACCAAACTTGCATTGAATGTTTACAGCTACAAACATGAATATCTGAATTAGGCAGGAATCCAAGCTAAGAGTAAAGAAAATGGAGGAAATTGAACCATTACTCCAAACCACATGTTTATCAGTAACTTATAGTCTCATTTATGCACAATTATCATACTCTGTTAGGTGAATGCAATTTTTCATTTAGATTTCTTTCTTCTAGGCAGTGTTTTCTAAAAATGCAATTTGATTACACAACTCAAGATTAGCTGAAAGAATCAAGAAAAAGTATAAATCAATTTTTAGTTCATCTTTATATTTTCTCTCTCTCTCTCTCTCTCTGTCAAAATGCATTTCTTTCATCTATAACAGTATCACCTTCAGACAATTTAATAAAACATTAGCATGCTTTCAAAATAAAATAAAAATGTAAAACGAGTAGGAAGCATTCATCCATAGTCTATCGATACTGCAAATATACTTGGAAGTTGTGATATAGGGGTTATTAAGAAATTCCTCTTTCCAGTTTGAAGAGTCAACTTTTATTTGATTAGTATATTGTTACAACTCTCTGCACACATATTTCAAAAATCACATGCATCTGCATAAAAGAATTGTTTAACCTCTTTAGAACGCAGACCGGTCAGACACCGGCCGGCAAACAGAACTATACAGGGAAGAAAGTCTGTTATTTGCCCTAACAATATAACATAACTTCATTAAATGTCTGTTCTGCTTCAAGTTTTCCTGTCACATTCCTGCCTACTTGTAAATACAATTCGGGAATAGAATTTTAATTTATATTCATAATAATACTGAAAATCTGCTGCAAAATACTAAAACTGATCACTTTCTTGCTCGGTAAATATAAACAAATAAGAACACAAGAATATATTCATAAGATTAAAAAGCAATTTAGGTGAATGATCCGTTTGAAGGAAGTATAACATTTTTGGTATGTTTTTACTGACAGTGTACGTATAAAAGAATTTTCAAAGATTTTTTATTTATGCAGTGATGTGTCTGTATCTGCCTATAGCTGCCTATACATGTATGTCTGCACAAACTTGTCTGTGTAATTTAGTCATTGGTTCATAACAGATGTGTCCTGAAACTCATAAATTCTAACAAAGAACAAGTATGGGATAAATATACAGCAAAGCAAGTCTACATAAAAAAATCAAACATAAAATCTAAATTCTTAGGGAATTCATTGTAAAATACTTTCCAAAATTAAATGTATTACTACAGAAAATATCAAAATTCTTTAAGAATCCATCTTATAATACGCATACATAAACATAAAGTAACTACTTTACCGGTATGTAGAAATGTATTACATCATCCTGCATTTCACTGTACCATTAATTTGGTTCTCTCTAACCCATTCAGAAAGAAACCCTAAACTGTCCCCTACAGTTCCCCCACACCACCCATGAAAAAGGAGTGTTTTGTATCAAATACAACATGCATGAACAAATCTATGTACAAGAATCTTACATAACACATTGCTTGGCAACACAGGACTCAGGTCAATTGAATAGCACTTTAGCAATAACATAACATGAAGGCAATCTCTGTAAAACTAACCAGGAGAATATTTTACTGTTGTACATGAAATAAAAAATATAATTCTGTTTCATTCTATTTCTTTCTTTGCAAACTGTAGATCACATCATTGAATTGTTACATGGTAAAGTCCATCTACCGGTACCCCAAAGTCCTCATAAAATGATATCATCTAATATTTCCTCACATATATATAAAAACAGAGGCAACACATATAAATCAAGATAAGCTAAACTTGCAATCTTCTTCAAATAATTCATATAATTTTGAAAGATTTTGTTTTAGCAGTCAACAAATACTGTAAACATCCCATGATAAATGCTTTTTGCAAGCTAACATGCAATTTTCCATCGAAGATTCAAATTTTCAGATCTATATGAACATATATATATAGCTCATATTCAGATTAGCTTGAATATCCATAGTTCTTCCGTTTTGCCTTTGTACTGTCCTTAGTGAACACATGCATAAAATAAGTACCATATTTGCATAATGTGAAACGAAATCATTAAAAGTGATTCTGCCCAAATTATCCTAATGCCCTCTTTACAAGTAAATTTACTGTACAGAGATATGCACACACCTGTGTCTTTTCAATACTTCAATATGCCTAAAATCATATATCACACACTGAATTCAGAGGAGACCATCTCTCTGCCAAGCTTAACTAGTCTTTGACAGAGAAGGTTGGCTCATTTAAACAGAAGATTATTCTTATTTTTTATTAAAGTAATACTGAAAATGGTACCAAACAAATGATAACAAAATCGAACTTGCTTGAAGGAAGCCTAGAGCTTGTATTCTATTAGTATCTTGATATGGGCTAACATTTAATAAACTTAACAAATCAGATGGTCATTTCTGTTTCTTTTGGGCATATTTGCAAATCTAATGAACCTGTCATTTTCTTTGAGAAAAACAAAAGAACCTTACCCCCCCCCCCTTATATCAATGGCAAATATGACAATATGAGCACACTTTTATTTTCTCCTCGCAAACTTGTTGGCATAATTCGTCGCTGTTTTCACGAAGTGACGGTAGTGAAAAAAAATTGCATTCACTTTGCGTTACGATTTTCCTCACTACCGTCACTTCGTGAAAACAAGGACGAATTTTAACATTATGCCATTAAATCTGTTGTGTTGATGATCTGGGTCAGAATAAGATTTCTATCATTAAAAACAAAGTGTATCAAAGTAAATATTGGCTTGCAATATAAATTATTAAGGAATCATTTACATGATTTTAAACTTGTTAGAACATGTTACAACATCCTTTCTCCCATTCACTTTTTTTGTGACATTCAACTACATGCTTAGGAATATATATATATCCAAGAACCCCAATGAAAAATTTGGAGCTTTCCTCAAAAGCTTTATTAGACTTGTGAATATCATAAAAACTCACTGAGTCATTATAAAGTACAGTATACATCTGCAAAGAATAGGGACATTTAAATTCTCTTTTACTTGTCACAAGTTTCCATTCAAATAAAATCTGCCCTCTAAACTCAAGGGGAAAAAAAAACCAAGGATTCATCACTATGAGATAGTAATAAGACAACCATTCATTCATGACTGTGTTGATCTCTTCTATAACACACCTTCAAATAGTAGCAACCAATGCATCAATGCATATCAATATGTCATTCACTTTCAAATACAACCAATGTATCAATGGCAACCGATTGCAATCCTTACTAACACTCCCCGTAAGAACGAGTGACTTAGCTAGGGTAATGTGTGGTTTTAACCAATGTGAGTGTGTAACACTTATCTGATCTTGTTTTCACATGTGGACTGTTTGGGAGGGTACATGATATATTCATCTGCAACCCTTTACAGGGCTGTATGACAGATAGCTCTTAGCTGGTATTTGGCTGAAAGTAGCTGCAATCTCAGCTAGTGCTTACTATTTTTTCTAGGTCACTTATGTCCAACACCAAACCTCACCTAGCCTGCATGTTATATCATATCAACACTAATGATGACGGTTCCACCACCACCACCAATTACTCAACATTTATAAATCTATATGGCACTGCTCAGTCCACAGTACAATATTACTTTGAAAAATCACTCCATTCCGTCCAGATCATTAAGCTCAAAACTCTGGAATACTTGTTCTTCCTAAGGTCAAAACTAAATGGGGGGAAAGAACCTTTGTTCAAGCAGGGCATTCACTATGGAATGCTCTACTTCAAAGAGATTCATAATATCATATCAGTTGAAATGTTCAAAAACAATGTTAAAACCCATCTGTTTAATTCAGCAAATAACTGATTGATCTGTCATTTGTGTATGTTCTAACTTGCATCCGTTACTTTGATGATAATGCAGATGTTTTTTTGTGACATCTTTTTTTTCCCTTTATTTTTTTCACAAGTGCGTCTTGAGCATTTGATTTCAAGTGGATTTGGCCCTTACAAATCTCATGTATTATCATTATAACAATCAGTACATGTTGTACCTACACTGTATAAACAAGCCAGGCTAGTAATCAATAGATTTATACATAAGGTATTGCATACCATATAGACAAGTTTGAAGGTACTATTAAAGCCATGTCATTTACTAAGCACTCCCTCAACAATCTAATTTCTTGGACACTTATCTACTTTTTTATCCAAAATATCTTGCATAATTTCCATATTCAGCCAATTTCAGCTTATTTTACTTACACGATAAACATTGAAATTCAACAACTATATTTCTCTTAGTATTTGGCAGCCAAAGCACTACAAATCATCAATTCAGTGAAAAATCTAAATTCTGTATTGTACATACTGTCGATATATATATATTGTTTATAAATCTGATTTACATGAATTTAAAACTGCAATTGCAAAGGCATAAAGCAGTTTCTAGCCATTCTTTCTGAAAGAATAGTCTGTATACAAATCTTACGCTACATTGAAAAATATTTGTTTTTATTCAGACCCTGCAACCATAGTAAATTTTCTTTTTCTATAGTATACAAAAATATGTAGATGTTTAAAATGGGTTATCACACGTTTCATTATACTATGTAGTTGAACAACTTGCAGGGGTTTTGTCTCTGCCAAGAAACTCTATCCAAGTGTGAAAGAGAACATCAAATGCTAATTCTGATATTAGGTGTTTTTTTTTAATAAATATTCAAATTTTCCTCCTAAATTCATTAAGTCATCTCCTTTTCTATTGGCTCTGTTTCAATTAAAAATGGATGCTTCTTTACAAGATGGTAAACAAAAAGTGTGACAAAGACCAAAGCAAACAAAAATGAATTCGCGGGAACCTCCACTTTTGTGAATACCCTGATCCAGATTAAGAACAGTTTGTAAGTTTGACTCTCAAAATAGAAAACAAATTTTCTGTGACTATGCCAAAATGAAAATTGCTTAACGATTTTACTAGCTTGATATGTTGTGTTCTCTACAATCCTTACCACGCATGATAATGTAAAAAGTATGAAAATTACAAACATATTATATATCAATGACCCAAATTCAAAGAAAATACATAAAATGAGCAAAAACAAAATGAGTTACATGACAGGCAAATTATACTGGCAAGCAGATGGTGATTAATAACACCTGATATAGACTATAGAAATCATTGCATATAATTGGCTCAGCAAATTTGTTAAGACAACCGTGGCAGTTATGTATTAAGGCTGTGCATAACCGTGTAATGAGGTACTCGAGTACACTCCCAGGCTTACAGGTGAATACTCGAATACTCGGACGCCATTTAAAAAATTAAAAAATATATATAATTTTGTTTTTGCTTTTTTGTTTTGTTGCCACCACCATACTACAGGAGAAGTATTCCAAGTCCGTCTCTGAAAACTCACACGGTTTTACTTCGAGTTGCAGTTGAAGGCGCCGATTTTATAATAATAATAATAGTAAACAATGCTGTTTTTTAAACCAAAGATGACAGAATAATCCATTTTCCTCCAAGTCCAAACAGAAATCTGGACATTTGGTCCCAGTTTCTGAGTGGTGAGTTGACAGTGATTAAGCTGGGAAAAATGTTTACCCACGGTACCATGCCGATGCTGCCTCCCGGGCACGGGTAAGCGTCGGCCTGGACAGTGCCAGGCGCGGGCTAAAAAAAAAAAAATGGCGGCCGAATATTCGAGTACGAGAAATCATACTTGAGTAGTTGTTAACGGTGCGAGTATTTGACTACTCGTCGCAGCCTTATTAAGAAAAGTTTCATGAAACATGGCCAAGATGTACGATCAGTGTGGATTGGTAAGATTATCTAAATCAGCTCACAATGGAAGTCCTCTTTGATCAAAATGGCCAAGTCACTTGTTCTATAGTAATTCATTAATAAATATATCAATTAATTATCATACAATTAAATAGTATTCATATGCTACTAAATTGAGAATGCCACCAACACATACTGAATGCACAAGTTTTATTCTGTCACAAAATGACTTTCTTTCACCATAAATGCAGTAACCGTATCTCACATAATTCTTTAAAAAAGGTAATTTCTTAAAATTTCCCAAATATGATTAAGTTACAAGCAAAAAGTATTTATACACACACACTATCATAGACATGTCTCCACACCACTCTTATCCCATCTCAAGAGAAAGTTCGTATGTGAAGATGAGCTCTGTCTATACCACAGAGTGATTAGACACACAGTCCTCCCAGGTCCATGGCATCACACCAGTCTTCATCCCCTCTCAGTGAAGTTAGTGTAGTTATCATAATTGAAAGATGAGCTCTGCCCAGGCTAAAGAGTGATCTGACACCAGTCCTCCCCAGGTCCAGCCTGCTGGTATGAGTGGATGTGAAAGGCCTTCCTTGATAACACCACATGACCCTGAAGAAAAACAAAAGAATGAAAAAGGAGAGAGAGTGAGAAAGAGAGAAAGACAGAGGGGGAGGAAGAGAGAAGATAGAGAGGGGGAAGGAGAGAGGAGAGAGGGGGAAGGAGAGAGAAGGGAGGGGTGTACAGGAAAGAGAGAGAGAGAGAGAGAGAGAGAGAGATTGTGTGTTTGTGTTATCGAGAAGAATTCAAAGATGGACAGAGATAGAGGGGAAATATTCAGATGCAAGCAGAAAGAGAGAGGTAGAAGAAAAATTATGTTTTAATTTTTGCAAATAGTCTAAACTTAAAATAGTCTTAGAATTACAAAATTTAAGGTTAGCGATAAAACAGGAGAATAAACAACTCACAATTAAATATGGGCAATGCCACTGAACTATTTAAATGTCAAAGGGCAATCCGTCCTTATAGGAAGTTATTTTAAGGAAAGAAGAAAAACCACAGAGCGGATCGGTGAAGTAAGAACAAAATAGGACAAAAGAAAGTTCTGAACTTTTGAAAGTTGTAACACTGTACAGTCGCTATAAATGTAGGCTTCACTGTAAACTAATTTGGCTGCATGCTACTTACCTCTGAAGCATTTCTGTAGCTCATTGCTGAAGAAAAGATTATTGGTGTGCTTGAGATCTGGTGAATGGTCAACTCCATTTGGCATCTGACCCTTCGGTGACACATGGATGAAGCCACAAGAGGTCAAAGGTGAAAGGTCAGAGAAGTCATGACCTGGGAAATTATCTGATGCTATGATCATGCTCTCCTTGTCTGTAACAAATAGGAAAAATATAAAAGAATTGATAAGGCTAGTTGATAAATGTCTCTATAAGTAGCTTTTAAATGCATGAGAAGGATTGGTCTACTGTAGATAGTGGAACACAACACAATATGACATATCACTGAACAAGGTGCACATGGTGTTTTACTATTGACTGCATGAATGAGCAGTAGCTACATGATCTATAGACCATTAGTTTCAATCGCCTGCAAACTATTGCAAGACAAGCTACTAAAGAAATATGCATTTAACAGCCTCAGCCAGTTTACTTCATGATTTCTGTTGCTTCAAAACATGTCTCGAACCAATAAGTGCCATCAATTCTAGGCCTAATGCTTGTAGGAACACTGGTTTGAGTTGATCAACGCTAACCGACCAAAAAGAAGCTCTCAACAGCCACCAAGATGACTAATCTTGATTTATTTACCCGGGAAGTACTGTTCGATGGTCCGGCCTATTGCTTCTACTGACAGGATATCCTACAGGAAAGAACAAAATAATGACATTGGCTAAAACAGAGAAAGATAAGGATTACATTAAGAGTATGAAGGTAAATAAGGAGAGAGTAAATCAGTGTACAAATAATACACAGCAGTAAGGGCATTAGTAAGAATTACCCACAAGAGTGAGAAAGAGATTGAGAATGAGGAAGAGGAAGGGGACAAGGACAAGGAGGAGGAGGAGGAGGACAGAGAGAGAGAGAGAGAGAGAGATAAGGGGGGGGGAGGGAAGGGATGGAAATAAAGGGAAAGAGTAAAAGAGACATACACAAACAATTTAAATAGAAATTTGGGGAAATTGTGAGTTTCAGTAATAGAAATCAAAGGAGACTCCCCAAAACCCATAATAAATACAAGCATCAGAAAGCACAGCATGTCAACTTTCTATGCAATAGTGATACAGTTAATAACAGAGTTCATATTTGTTGTGCTTGTAACCACAACATTGACACGACAATATGCATACCATGTAACCTCATCATTGCATTAAAAAATACCGGTAATAAATGGTGCATTAACACCACATTTGTAATTGTATTGTCAAAAGTGTAGGAAATTACACCTACATTACAATACAACAGTAATTGTATCTTTGTTTGGCCGGGCTAAGTAAACTTCCTGGTTTGCATTGTTTATACAACACTGTCATATTTCATCAGGGTTGAACAAACTTTCTTTCTCACGTGGGAGGAGAAGAGTCCATATCCAATAACAAAATGACAGTAGGAAATCCTGACTTCCCACATACTGTACATGTACCGGTATACGTGACAATTACCGGTAGACTTTTCATTCATAAAGCTTCATTCTTCTGACCTACATATCTCATGGTCATTGTACAGTCAAATCTGCTTTAGTGACCACTTGTCTACAAAGACCACCTGTATACAAAAAGCCACTTTTGTTGTTTCCCTTGAAAAAAATGGTTTCTCATTGAATCATGTACTAAAGGAACCTGTCTACAAAGGCCACTTTTTGTGTTTCCCTTGGGCGGTCGATATAGACAGGTTTGACTGTATATTCTATATTCTGTGTGTCAATATCTACATGTACTTCTCAGGCACTGAAAAAAGGATTCACAAGTAAACATTAAAAGTACAGAAATCTTTAATTTCTTTAAAACCATTTGACATCACTGAGTACTCATATTTCTGACCTATAGACATGTTCATGTACAGTGGTTCTTCAAACGCCTTGGGGTAGGGGGTAGGGGGGGAGGGGGAGGATGTGATAAATACATGTACATGCACATAAATTATGTGTAACATAACGAGGGGTGTTAGAGTAATAACACTGACAAAAATTATTGGGGGTAGTGTCGCTGACAAGGAATGTAACAAGGGACCAGATAGGTGGAGCACCACTAAACCAGACTACTGTAATACACTCAATAAGAACATAGATACAAGCTTATCTTACATCATCATCATCATTGTTGATCTGATCATCTGCAGGGAAAGGTACATTGAGGATGGCAATCTCAGCATGGAGTACAGCAAAGCGTCCCAAGAAAGGAACCCTGCCTGCTGAGGGGGTTGAGATGGTTCGGTTAGACGATGGTTTCAGTCTGTAGGAATGCTTCAGACGTACATGTTGACTGGTATCCCACAGGTAACCACACGTTCCAGCACTCTGATCACAAACATAAACAATAAATCATCAATTGAATTTGGATATTCATCAGACTCCTGGCTGTGATGTGTAATAAATTTGAAGGCTATTTATGAAAAGTATGGATGCTATAATTGTATAAGGGACCTAATGTTTAAAGTCTTATCCCTGAGACAAAATTATTGTGAATGCTTCACCCAAGATAGATCAAATATTGTCTTATCTCACAAACATGTCTTCCCATAGTTTGAAATACACTACTCTATCCACAAAGCAAAAAGAGAGAGAAAAAAAACCCAAACAACAACACACACCCCCAAAACAATGAAACACTTCCCCTCCCATGAAACATCAATAAAATATAAAAAAAATTCTTTGCAAGTATGATATTTCTCCCCAATTCGCTCTATCAATTCCATACATGATGTACTGAGTATCAAATCAATGTCATACCATCAAACATGTACTTTTTTGCCCTTGGAATTCTCCTACAAAATTCATACATAGCAAAACATTATTTGAATAATTACCTGGTATCATGTTGTTTGGATTCTATTACAAATTTGTATTTGATTTACTTTTCTTCTGAACTGCAAAGAAATGTATTCCAATAATGTTCTGACAGTAACTTGCTGTTATATGTTACTTAAGGTTACTTGAGGTTGACAAGACAGGAGCCCAATGTCATTATTCACCACAACACGATCAGATCGGCCTGAAAGGAAAGACTTTATCCGCTTTAAGACGCAACCTCTAATACCATAACTATCCACCTCAGCCACAAGTCTCCTGTTCATGGAGTACCATAAACATAACTGGCTTTTTTTTTCCCCTCTATGTTTGTTTGACATTTCTAATGTACTCATCACTGTGCCAACATATTGTATTGATCATGAGAAGGAAAAAAAAAAGGGGGGGGACACAACAACAACAACAACAACAAATGAACAGAACAAAGAACTAGTTTATGCTATTACCTGGCCCTGCTTATCTTCAGAGTAAGCTGTGATGCAGGTCCAAGCCCCACGATGTCCAGACCAGGCCTTCACAGGTCCTAGACTAGGATTGTTTAATTCAGCACAGATCTGAAGAAAAAAAAAATGATGATCACAAATTCAGGGAAAATACATTGATTGATATTCGATTCATTCGGCAGGGGGATAGCTTCAATTCTAAATCCTGACATACATGTGGGTCTTTATAACAAATAAATTTTAAACCATTCCCTTTTAACAATCATTCCAAATGAAATTTTATAGGACAATATACAATGTCTGAGTTTGTCTGACATACGATTGATACATACATGTAATCATGTGGTCAGTCACGAGTGTTTGATTTAGTCCTCACCTCTCTTTCACTATGCACAATGTGGTATGTTGTTATTCGATGCCAAATAATGTTACTACAAGTACAATACAAGTATGCAAATGTACATGGACAAACCCTGCATTCTCACTATGGTATATATACAAGTCTCGTTTAGCTAAATGATAAGTAATTAAAGTTTTCCTAATCAGAACGTTATATAAAGACATGTTACATAGCAGAACGTTGTATAGCAAAACTCCTGTTTGAGAATCTTTTCGAACGAAACCTCGATAAAGAAACAGGGTCCCGCTCTAGTGTTAAAGTAAAGAGGTATCGTACAAAAATAATATAACTGGACAGGGCTTACTGTGAACAAGCACTATTAACTGGCCAGCTGTCATGTCAACTGAGGTCAAAATCATTTTCGTCACACAACGTTTCTTTATACGATGTTGTTTTGGTTTTATTTCAGTATAAAAATTCAAATACATAATGTACAAGAATACAATTTACAAATATAATACAAATCAAGAATTAAAAACGGCTGGAATGCTCTTTTCAGAGCCATTTTTTTTTAATGACTCTGTTCTTCCTAGAGGTCCAGAAAGAAGGAAAAGAGGTGGGTGTTTTTAGTCTGTACATTCCTTTTGCAATAATGCTTTACATGTATATGACGTTTCTTTATACAAATTTTTGTATAAGTTTCCTACAGTCTGAACAGTCAGCATACAAGTGGGTGAGCTACTCAATACAGACAGTGTAGGCCCATATATCAACAAACTTGAGCTTTTATCACTTCATTACTCCATACAAAACAAACATACATGTACCTATTATTGTACACCCATTGTTTGTGACCTTTTATCTATGGTATAGTCATTAGATGAGAAACTGTAGGGTGTATTTAGCAGAACAAAATATTGAAACGATTGACTTTCTAATAAATGGTTGCACCACTCTTGGCTCAAACATCTTTAAAATAGCCAGGTTTTCAAGAAATGACATGTTTAATGTTGATTTTTTATGACTCATTTCATGGACTCCTGTCATCTTGAATAAGATTTGAATTGTTTGTTTTGTGATGCCATTGAACTACTAATCAGTAATCTACAGATAAACCAAAGTCTGAAGATTTAAGCAAACAACGTACAAGTACATGTAGCACGAGATAAAACATGCTTTGGCAAACAAAAGCTCCTAAACTGCATTTTGATATGCGAGATAAGACAAATGCAAGAAAATAGTATGATAAAATTACTCAATAAGATTTAAAAATTAGGTTGTCATTTACCAGTACCTACATGTACATTACCTGATTAGAGTACCTCTTTATTAATTTTCCAGATGGTCTCTCATAATTACTCCCAACGTACTTAAGACTGTTAGTTAAGACTGTAGGTCAAAGAAAATTCAATATGTGCAAGGTACTCTTTTCTCAGATTTTGCTGTGGTCATGAAGATAACTTGTTGAACTACATATATCAATGGCATTCAAAATCTGTTTTAAAATCATAGCTATGGCACTATCATTTAAATGTTTGTTAAAGAGAGACATTTCAGGAAGTCTTGAGTTGGGGAATGACCTCCAAATAGCATGTCATCAGCCCTCAGAGATAAAATCAAACCTATCCAAATAATCCAATCTAAAGCAAATTAAAAATTCACTTTAAAGGTACCCTGACATATACATGTACATATTTAGAAAATGCAAAAATCAGTCACAACTGATTTGGAAAGCAAGACCATAATAGGTTCATCAAGAAAAGATAAATTTTTGACAATTTGTAGTACTATCAGTGTATATTTTGAAATCAGAACGCAATGGTTAATGAGGATACATGACGGCATGATGCCAGTATCTCCTTCCTGTTGACAGCTGAGATTAGCTTTGATTCAAGACTCTCTGATTTTGCTTCTATGGACCCACGGACATTTCTCCAAGACCTTTCTCTCCCTTTTATATCTCAGTAAAGACCAAATTGAATACTCCCATGAAAGAGTTGAAAACATACATGAACATCCAACCCAGTTTGGTTCAGATGCTTTGAATATCAATTACACTCATCAATGAAGTGTCACTAAAAAAGAGAAATGCCTAAAAGGGAGAACAAGTTGAACATTATTTGAGGGTCATTTGAGATGGGATGATCACATGTTTGTGTCATAGACAGAGCACTCCATGGACAGAGGAACCTTATGTCAACGTGAAGAATTCAACACATGATATTCTAACCAAGTGAAATTCACTTGCAGTCAGTCACAAAGACCTAAGTCATCATATCCCTTCTCCTTTTTAATTCATTGACTAGGTACTCTTTATATCAAAAGAGAAGCCTAAAAATTGTTGAAATTGTAGATTTAACAAGACTAACAAACAATTAGGACTATTAGACTAATGCCCCATGAGATATCACAGAAAATGTTTGCAATTGTTCAACTGTCTACTGATTGACATATCTCAATACCATGGACACAACATTTCTAACCTCAATGCTCTTTTCACATGATTTTGCACACAAACCATTGCATTGGCACCTTACTACTGTAAAGTAACTAAATGTTATTGTATGACACTTGAACAAATTTACCTACAAAGATCCCGATTTGAGTGACATCTAATCATCTATGAATAACAAATATGTTGCCAACATGAAAGATGTGATAAATTCTTAGTTAATTACATTTTTGTATAGTTGAGAAATATTCTTCTGAGTCCTGACCAAAAGCGTAATCAACTGAATCTGACTGACAAGTATGAAGCAATTATAATCATATAATTCACAATGGAATATGAAAATAAGACATTATTTGTGGCAACACAGGATTGTTGAACTGTAGTATACACCGCATAATATATATTTTTGTTAAGTTGTTTTTAATGATCTAATTTGTTATTATTTAAAGGCTTCAACATTAGATGGCACATACATTTGGTGATTTTGGTCCAAGCTCTAACATTCTTTGGTTCTTCAACTTCTATATGAGCAATATCAGATATGAAATCCATTGTAGTGATTGTGTGACTGTGAATGACAAACAAGAGATATCCACCCACTCCCGAATCTAAAGTTTGTTGACTTTGGTGCAAACAATCCTTGATGGAATAGAGATAAACTTTGAGTGAACTTGTACATCGAACCATTCACATCACAAAATATGATATTTTTTTTGTAGATATAAAAACTGAAATGCGTAGACTACCTCACCAATGTAGAAAAGCATTGAACAAATACATGTACCGGTACATTGTACATGTAGCTAGGTTTCAACCAGCATATGTCACTTTAATGAATTTTTTTTTTTTTTCTCTCAACTTACACAGAGACAAATATTATCTTTAAAGAAAACAAGTTCAAGGAGAAATAACCTTACAAATGCTTCCTGAAAAAAAGTTATACAATAGGCTGAAGGTCATCCAGAAAATATTTAACTGAGTCTGGCCTGTGAATAAATATGAAACACTATCATTCAGACTAAATAGAGGAGCAATGCTAAGTCTGAGATGAATTACATAGCCAATTTGAAGCTTATATTGTGTGATTTTTGTATATTTTATAAAAATGACCTAAAACACAACACTATTTCCATTAACAAACAGCTAATTGTGATATGATTTTCCATCTATTGTTAAGTTTAATTTAAAGTGAAACTAGGATACAAACGAGAAAGACATTTTCATGCATTCCTTAACAGATCTGAACGGGAACATGTTATCATTGTTAAACAGTCATTGACACTAATTTACATATCATCTCGACCATTGTTCAGAGTGCTGTGCCCTTCAGAAGTTCAGATCAGACGTCCTTAGCTCAACTTATGTCAACACATTTCACAGATACATAAAGATATCTAACACCCCTTTTTTCATTTAGGTGTTTTAAAAATAAAAATATATATTCGCACATGATTTATTCACCACATTTTGAGAATGTCTCAGTTTGCTTTTATCCCCCCTGCATGACAAACTACAAAGAGAGACAATTGTTATAAAAACCACAATCCAATAACCACTATTGTCACACAATGAGCTTCCCAACTGTCTGTTATGCACAATGGTCAATAGTTGGATACAATATAACTTACCTCATCTAGAGCAGTACTGTCTACAATGTCTTGGCAAGCTAGTAGGCTGAGTCTACAGAAAAAAATACAGACATAACAGATTTTCAGTGAAAAGAAGCAAGTAGGTCTAGACTATAAAATGAGTGCATTGATTGAAAAGAAGTTCTACGAAGGCTGATTCTAATGGGGAAATAGAGACATAAATCACAGACAAGAAGCTACACGTACGATTGTAAATGTACATGTACATGTATGCACGAGACTTAAGAGGAAATGGAAACCTGTTTATTTAATGAAAAGGAGGATTACCTCTCTCTCTCTTTTTTTCCTGCTATGTTGCAGTCAATCGAAACATGTTGATGTTTAAAAAAATGTTTTATCAAATTTAAAGGTCTTTGTCAAAACAGTGATGGTACAGTGTAAATATGGTTAAGACACTTGGAATGTGAGGACAGTGGAAGAAGGTATTTTGAGGAGAACAGAAAGAGCTATGATAAGATGGAAGATGTGTGTTGTGAAACTGTCCGATAGAAAGAACACAAGTGAGCTCATGGAAAGGTCGGGTCTGGAAGAACCTGTGGTGGAAGTGGTAAAGAGAAGTGGATCGAGAAGGATGGGTTATGTGTTGAGAAGGGAAGATGATGAGTCTGTGAAGAGAGCATATGCTCTGGAAGTGGATGGCATATTAAGAGGGAAAGGAAGACCACAGATAACATGAAAGATATCGTAAAGAAAGAATGCCTTAAGGTAGGTCTGAATGAAGAGGATGCTTCAGACAAGAAGAAGTAAAGGGAGTGTCATCATGGTGCGAAAGTCAGTAACCCATCGTAAGAGGGAAAATGCTGACTTTAATAATGATGATGATGATATTCTTTTATGTTCTTTAATAAATCCTATCAAATTGTATAATGTAAAGTACATGTATGAAAACAATCTTTGTTTTCATATTTTACAGCAAGATGTCTTATTATTCATAAAGTTACTCTTGTTCCATGAATTTTAACTCAATATGTAGTAGTGAAGTGCATTACAGTTGGATACAGTACTTCTGCACCAAAACTATGTACTTGTGATGAACTAAAAATGGCTTTCTACATGTATGGTGCACTCCTATTTTCCACAAATATTCCATCTTGAACATGAGTAGACTTCATTCTTTTCTAAATTTAAAAAACATTTTACATTCTCATCTTACATGTACATGCATGTTTCATAGAGCGAAATTGAAATCCAAAGTAATACTTTTTCTTAGAAAAAGAATGCAAAAGAAGAGAAAATATTGAAACTATGCTGTAACTTGCAAACATACCCATTTTCCAGTAAGGTCATGCAAATGACTTCTCTCACTCCCGGGTTTCTAATTTTTTCCAGGCTTAATTTCTGAAGGTTCCACGATGCAACACGCACTCTACCAATCCTGTGAGAAGGGGTACGTCGTACCATCATCCTTCCTTTTCTCCTTGGTATGGTGGCAAATGGGGTAGGCATTGATACATTGTCAGTCTGTGTTGCGGATGTCACATGGACTTTTTTGGATCCACCAAATCCAGACGGCAAGGTTCCATTGGGTCTTTCCCGGTCTCGCAAGATTGGCAGAGAGTCTGAGGAGAAGTCTTCGATAATAGACACGGTAGTTGATGTGCTACAAGTGCTTTCATTATCATCTATAGTCAAGCAGTGCCTGATCTTTTCAAAATAGTAAGTTCCTATTTCAGGTACTTTGCTAACATCTGTAAGAAATTTGTACTGGCCAACTTCATTTCTATATTCTACAATACGCTGAGCTAAATCTGTTCCAATTCCGGATACTTTGCACAGATCCGTTGCTGTAGCTTTGTTAACATCCACTTTTATTTCACTACTCTGTTTCAAGAGTGCGTTTAAACGGTGGCTACTCTTCCGACTAGAAGATGGTGTAGAGTAACTGCCAGGATCATATTTCCCACAATATATCTCCATCCGAATTAAAGCAAGTTTATTGGCACCTACTCCAGACACAAGAGCTAGATCTTCTGCTTTCCGAAACCCACCAATGTGGTTGCGGTATTGGATTATGTTGCGGGCAATGTTGCGGGTGATAGTTGGAAGAGTCATAAGCTCTTCTTCTGTTGCCTGGTTGATGTTAAGCTGATCCAGTGTCATGACAAAGTCATTGGCACTGTACGTAGCACTGATGTCACGACGAGGACGCTTCTTGTTTGGTGACATGAGATCATGTTCGCTATGGAGGCGGGACTTCTTAGGCCTCCGTCCACAGCAGCTGGTAACCATGCCCATGGCTGGTGGATTGCGCAACAGTCAGCACCAGGGATCGTCTTCATAACAGCCATTCACTAACTCCTTCACTTCTTTAATTAACCAACGTCATCTCATCTTGTCTTCCTGCAACAAGAACAAATCAAAACTTGAAAATACAAACAATTTCTGTCAAGGGAATTAATTTTCAGTTGTACTGTATCACATGAGACACACAATATGGTAAACTCTCTCCCACACCACAAAACCATGAGAGGAAAGTCTGATTGAATCACATTTTCAAAATGGATCACTTGGTCTTGGTAGATTTTGCAATTCCTTCCGTTTGGTCTCTATCATTCTATCACAGTGATAAATTGAAATTTTCAGGCTATTTGTTACCTGTGATCTTGCTCTTTCAAAACTCTAAAACAAGGTAGAGAACGCACACTTGCCTGTTTCAGTCCTCGAGTCTTGGAGGAACAGACAAGGTATGCTAGTGAGGGAGAAGAACTCAACAAAAAGACGATTTTATTGATATTGAATAGAGTCCACCAATCATGTTTATTTATCTGATAAAATGATAGATAAGCTTGTCTGGTCTAGTATAGAGGTAACTTGACATTGTGTGCAGGGACAGGTTACATTGAGTACTGGAGAGTTGATTAAAATTTTAAAGAAGTTTACATTCAATTTTTTAAGACTTACATCACATGTATGTTAGACAATATTATAAAAGACAAATATTCATGATGGTTGATGCATACTTGTTGTTATAAAATACCAAGGCAAAAGTTAGGGCTTTATTTTGTTTAACATCAGGACACACAACCCCCCCCCCCCCCCCCCAAGATACTCAGAAAGATCATAGATCTATAAGTAATTAGATACCATCCCCGCATGCCGCAAGTCCATTACACAGCATAAATAATGATTAATGGTGTGACAATTGATTAGCATCCAAATCAAATAGTTGAAAAGAATGTAGACTTCCAGTTCTAGCGCCGTACATTGAATTGATCAACATTTGAGGGGCTGCTAAAGTGCAAAAACATGCAGGAAGGACACACAAAGTTAAGTCAAACTCAAACTTCAAAGCCTCAAACTCAAAAAATGTTGGGCATGTTGGAAAGTGTAGCATGTATATCTACGTTAGAAAGTGTAGCATTAATTACTGTACACCTAGACCGAAAGCTTCAGTCTTTGATATTGACGGTTGTTCCACTGAGATTATTTCTCCCTTTTAGTGTTAGAATTAGGTTTAGCGTTAGAATCTACTTACAAAGCTCAAGTCTCAAGATTTATTTTGGTGAAGCATTTGGTGGTACCCTACGAACGTTTGGTCAATTTTACTTTTTAGTGGTGGAGGGTATTCTAAAGTTGCTCCTATCTGGCTCCCGCCTCTGTAAATAATGTTGACAAATGTCAGTTTTATTATATTTATAGAATGACCCATACCCAGATACCAGATGCAGACGGTTTTTTCCTGTCAATGCCTGTATTGCCTGCCACTGCACTACCACAGTACCACACAGCTACACTGCACAGTTTGCACTGCACTGCACCGCACCATCGTTACCACCCGGCATTACCATTGCCATGAATGCACCCCTAATTTATGATTTCACGTCGATTGTCGCCACAATTACCGAAGTTTTTTAAAATTTCAAATATAAAAGTCTCATTTGAATTTTGGCTGATTATTATAGAAACGACGGAATAGTTGTAAACTTACATTGAAACACAAGTGCTGTCGTCATCCACATCGACGTCCGGCGGAGTACAAAATGTACACTCGCGATCGCTCTATATTTTTTTATGGGTGTACAATATAGCTAGGCGGCCGAGCTAATACGGAGCTTCGATCGTCGGTACGGGTACGGTACTTACGGTATGCTAGCTGGTTCGGCCTTCGATGACTTTGGGGACTTCGTTTTGTAATTAGACTAGTTTATGTCTAACTGTTATGTCTATATTTTTTTTAAATCCTGATTCTTTGTATGATCCATCCGGTAGTAATTCTTATTCATAGAAATAATTTTAATGGATATATAACTGATCAAATATGTTTGATAGCGGTGGGGGGGGGGGGGGGGGGGCTCACAACCCCCATATAGGCAGGCATGTAGCCACGGGGGGGGGGGGCACGGGAGGCACATGCCCCCCCCCCCCCCAAAAAAAAAAAAAAAAAAATCAAAAATCAGTTGAAATTTTTTAGACCCCTTTTTTTTTACTTCGATCGATTACATGTATGTGCCCCCCCCCCCCAATATCAAACTCTGGCTACGTGCCTGCATATATGACCCTACCACCCAACCCCCATTTACTTTATTTCTTGATTGTGAATGAATTTCAGTGAGACACAAGGACAATGAATACATTAACCTAAAATGCCGCTCAGCAATTAGGACTATATAGCTGGGCTACAATTTTTAATTCTTTGATCTTCTTTTTTGTTTGTTAATGGGAGCTGCCCTTGATAGGCCTACACAACATGCCTCCTGCCCTGGCTCAATCTGTCACCACATGCACGATCTTGTCTTGATCAATTTGACATGGTCAAATATGTCTTATTAGTTTATCATGGCTATGTTTACTATTTCTGCTTAATCGATAGGAATGGTTAATTATACATCATAGGTTTACACATTTTTTCTGTTTTCCCTGCATTCTCTTATCTCTAACCCAATCCCTCCCTTTTCTTTCCTGGCCTCCACCTCAGCCATCTCTCCACATTTTCCTCAGCCCCTTTTTAGTCTATGTCTTGTTCATCACTTTGTAAAACTACTTTAATTGTATAAAATACATCCAGGCTCGACACCAACAGGCACCCAAAATCCAAGCTCTGACCCCTAAATTATTAAATATTTTATATAGGGCTTATGCATACAAATGCATATATATGTTTACCCCAGCCCCAGCCCGACCACACACATAAGTTCATCTCAATGTCTCTCTGAATCATCTTTTTGGTTGTTGTTATTGTTTGTTTTGTTTGTTTGTTTGTTTGTTTGTTTGTTTGTTTTTTTTGTTTTTTTTTGGGGGGGGTCCTGCCGTTATATATGTTGGCAGCCCCCCCCCCCCAACACTCTCTCTCTCTTTAGCAATTCCATTCTTTCTCTCCCTCTTTATCCTCCTCCCTTCATCTTCTCTTCTTTCTCTCCCCTTACTCCTGTCCCTTTTAATTCTTTCTCTTCTCTTTCTCCACCCTCCATTTCTTCTACACATAGTTATCAGATTTTGTTAACACAGCACACTTAAATGATTAAGGAAGCCACAAAAGTATAAATTATTTGATTTTTTTTTTGATACACATGATTTAAAAATAACATCATTATCTTGTGAGCTAACTTGTTTACTTTATTCACTTAAACTTAAACTTATTCATATGTGTATGATGCCATTACTTATTGGTAAGTGTAACAAAAAATTGAATTGTTTTTACAATGCCAATTAGGAAAAAAATACATATGTTATCAACGTTGCTGAAAAGGAAAACATTTGCAAGACAAAAGGAGTGTTTTTAATTAGCAAGAAGAAAAATTTGCCTTCTTTGGCTTCTTATGATCAATTTTTGAATTTATTGTCTACTTGACAAATGTATCTGAAGTATGGGCTCCATTATATCATTCTCCCTCTGTAAGAGTAAATAAGACTTAAGACTGGTTGGAGGTTTGTGTTCAAACGTAACAGCCCTAGTTCTTTCCTGAATGTCTTGATCTACATCTTACTATCAAGCACTGAATCTAATGACCGGGGTAATAATATATTTGTAAAGCGCTTAGAGACATTTGTATTAAGCGCTATGTAAAAATTAAATATTATTATTATTATTATTATTATTATGTACACAAATATCAGTGAGTAAAGCTACAATATGCTTCAAATAGAAAAACAAAAAAACACACATTATCATGATCTTACTTGTCTCTGAGAGGCCTATGCAATTGAAAAAGTAAGAAAATTTAACTTTTGCTTGGTAGTATTATTTTGTTCAAGGGTGTTTCCTTTCTAATCTACAAGGTTTTTCATTTACAAGATGTGTAAAAACATATCTTGGGATTACACGTTACAGTTGCAAACTTTTAGAGCTGTTATTAATACAGTACTGTTCTTTCCATACATTCTGAATAATTCCTAGCATAACTACACGGATAATGGTAACATCATGAATACCAATTTTTTTTTTTTTTTTTTACTGAAGTTACTTTTCAGACCTAAGGTGTAGGCATTGCTTTTATACTTGTTTCTTAGATCCCTTTTTTTATGTTATCTTTGTATATTTGTAATCTTCTTTCACAAACAATTAACCCAATACCTTAACAGATATTCAAATTAATGACATCACTCATAATACAATCAAACCTGCTCAAGTAAAAAAGGATAAGTGGTTCTATAGATGGGTGTTAGTTAAACAAAGTTGGAAAGCAAAACAGAACACAATAAAACATCTTCAAAGATCATGGTAAGGTGATATTGGGCTTTGCTGAGTCAGGTGATCATATAATAATATTAATAATTTGGTCTTATTTACCCAAGTTGGCCACATTAGTAAATTATTCTTTTGCAGGCCCTGCAATTATAACCTCATCATTGCTAGGTACCCATTCACGTCTGGGTAGAGAGGGACAAATGTGGGAAAAGCACCTTGTCCAAGGATGTAAGCACCAAACAAGGATTGAACCCACAACCTCTCGTATGACAGTCAACAGCCTTCATCAATACACCACAGTGCTCCCATACTTATATCCAAGAAATGTATTCAAAGATATCAACATAGATGCAGGGCACAAACTTAGGCTTTGGCTAGAGTTTCTGTGGTACGACTCATAAAGACTGAATGACTTTTGACATTTAAGTCCATTCAATTATACACTTATACATGTAAGTAAATATATAATTGAAGATTAAAGACATATCAATTCAACCCAGCTGTTTTCTGTCTGCTTGAAGCCAAGTGTGCACATGGCAATGAATAACATGAATCATTACATGAATGTATCACAAATCATCTACAGCCTGAGTGTCCTAGAATGTAAACACATTGTCCAGATATCTACACCGATGAGGAGAAGTGAAGGTTCAAGATTAAGAAGATGGGAAGTAGTCATCATCATCTGAGGACCTTGCTCTGTGTCATCCGTAGATCCCGTTCAATCTCATACTGCCTCACATCAGTCCTCTGCAAGAATCTCTGTCTCTCCACAAACCTAGGAATCAGAGAAATAATAGATATTACTCAAATCTCTTCAGAGCCTAAAGGTCCATGCACATGTGAAAGGGAAAAGTAAGAGAGCAGTTTGATGGGGATTTTTGTCACTTTTACAAGAACATATTCTTTCTTGGCGGTGATTCTGACTTCTGCTAATGATGACCAAAAAAATTCACATTATGTAGATCCCTCTTCATGCGTAATTAAGAGTCCCTTTCTATCCTGAGTCGGCACTTAGAGAACAAATTTAAATTATCCAGCCAAATGACTAGTAGTGGCTAAGGCATTAAAGGATGTTCCAAAGTGCATTTAGAAAACACATGAATGCAAATTATCTGAAAATTCAATTTTCTACAAGTACTTCACAGTTTGTTGTTTCTTCTGATAATATTCACTTTAGATAGATACTGCATCATGGCCCAAACAAGTTTTAAGTGTCTAAGCAGATTTCACATATTACAAGAGATGGACATAAAGCGTCAGTCACACACCTAAAAACCAATTGAATGGTATGAATTAAAACATTTGGGGAAGTTTCTTGTTATATTATTTCTTACCCGTCTTTGCCTCTATTATGTATCTTCAACTCATCAGTGATCCCTTCTTTACTCTTGAAGCTTTCCCAATCTAAGCAAGATTTTTCCTTTAAAGAAAAAAACAAACAAACTAGAGATTATACTTCATCATCATCACCATCATTTATTTATTTCAGCATTTTCCCTCTTAAGAAGGGTTACTGATTTTCGTGCTATGATGACACTCCCTGTCTCCCTCCCTGCACTTCTTCTTATCTCTGTACTTAACAATGTCAAGAGGGCTGCTTCATTTTGTTGGGGAGATAAAGTTAATCTTTAGTCAAATCTAAATACATGAAGTCGTCACGGGTACAGTACCTCACTTGTCAATGCAAACATAGTTCATAAACAATATGTTTGAAACTTCCTATCAGAAACAGTTTGCAGATGGACAACAATAAATCATGATTTCTATTATTTTCAAGGGTTGTTTCATGAACGTTATCTACTAAACATTGCTTAGCGATCATGCATTTTATTCTATATTTGCCAGCCAAAGTATACATTACTAAACAGTGGAGTTCTGTAGCTTCTAATTATTCATGAATATATAAGGACACATTTCCAAATCGGACATCCTAACTTATCCATTCTTGGAAGAGTAACTTGACTGGATACTTACTAATGTGCCAATTTTGTGCTTCTTGCCAATTTGACCCAAGACATTTCCTAATCCACCACCTGATCGTTTTAACCTGTCGGGAGAAAAATAATACATATATTCATCACATATATCACCTTATAAGTAATTTTACAACTATTGATATTCTGATTAATAAAAATAGTTTTCATGGGGGAAAAGGATAGAGTGGTGCAATGTTAAGAGTATTTACTTTACCGGTAATAATATATATGTTACTAAGGGTTGATCTGTTGACTACTAAATTCTATCATTCTTTGAAACTCATCATACAAGGACCATGTGGTTCTCACAGACAATTGTTAACGCTTTCAGGGCATTTCAAAGGGGGTCTGGACTGATATTGTTAGGGTTTATCTGCATGGGCACCTGATAAAAGTTCAAAATTGTGGGGGTCTCCAGCTGCAATTTAAGGTCCACGTGTACTGAATCCCTGTGAAATTCAAACCTTTAGGATTTGTTTATTCATTGTTTCAATATCAAAGTCCTGCTTTGATGTCTAAAGAAGGCACTGCTTACCCTGAGGCAATTGTAGGTTTGGAAGAAGAACCAAATGACCCAGGTACTACTGCTGATCCAGTGCTTGAACTCCCAGGTATCATGTCAGACTTTGCAGGACTATCCTTCTCCTCCTGTTCTTTGAGGTAACTCTTGGCTTCCTTTGAAGATGCAGCCACTTCTTTGGTGACTCTAGATGGATGTTACATAGATATGAAAACATTTGAATCAGTGATGATCCAATACATGTTCCAGCCTTTACTTCCTCAAAGACAATGACTGTGGGTAGGGTTAAGTCTAATGTTGAGGTTTGTATTAGACATTTCTATGCAACAATTTATTATCTAAACTCCTGCTCAAGTTTTCAGACAATATTAAAATGAATACATTTAAAATGTAGTTATTGACTTAAAACAAGACTTGCACAAGTTAACATTTTGAAGTATCAAATGTAAAAAAGTAGCATTTTGTACATATCTCTCTTATATTTCCAGCTGGACATATCTTATTCTATAATATGCCTTGGATATTTTCACCTATTTCTAAATGATTACATCTTTTAATGTCCATAGCAATAGGCTAATCATGAGTACTGATAACAGAATTGAATTTTGAGAGAAACTAGCTTAAATTCTATGTTCTGTCTAAGCTTTGCTTTTAAAATTCTTTGATAATTTATTTACCATCATTACAAGAACTCAAGATTATCTTGAACAAAATGTAATTGGATATTAACTTTCAAGAGACACATCTGATTTAATTAACTTTTTTTTTTAAATTCTGGTTAAATTCATCCTTATAAAAATAAAATACTTATTTGAACTCACTTTACTGCTTCTCCTGCGAAGTCAAACACTTTGGTGATTTTAAGAGTGCTATTAGTTTTGCTGCCATTTGATTGTGATGTAGGAGTAGCTGGCTGCTTGGAAGATGGTGTCTAAATTACAAAGATATGCAAAGAAGAAAATATCATGTCAGAAATTCTAAATAAGACTTGAAGATTAATATCTAAAATACAAAGTCTCATAAACATATTGTATAAAATTATGTTTTCAAACTACAAAAAGACAAGTAAGGAATGATAAAGACAAAATTATTGTATGTCTTGTAGTATAACTGTATGTTAAGGATGTTATCATGCATGCTTGGATGTGTTAAGTGAATTTGCATTTTTCTTGTTTTATTCCAAATATGCCACAAATAGAACTGAACAATTTTAAATACTAAATAATCGAACTTAATATAAGCTTATGAATACAATAACTACCTTTTGAGAAGATGGTACCATTGATTTAGCGGCCTTGTCATTTTGTGCCCGAGATGATTTAGGCTTCTGCTTCACATCACTCATAAAGCTACTCCACAGATCATCCGCTTTCTTCTTTTCAGCTTCTTCCTTTTTCCTTCTGGCTTCTTCCTTTTCTGCTTCTTCAAGCTCACGTTGAATGCTAGAAACTAAAAGATATGAGACATGAATACATGGTATTACAGGTATTGCAATAATCAAGCCGATGCCTTATGATTAGATGTACATTTAGTAAACGGAAGTATGAATTGCAATTACTTTGCCTCCGACAAAAATCATCCAGCGAATCAAAAAACCTTGAAACAAAAAGAAACTAATTGCATTCAGACTTGATGATTTTCCCTAACTGCTAATTTATACCATACCATTATTGTTGTACTCTGGGACATACCAAATCAATGATTCTAAAGGTTTGTTTTCTTTCTTTCTTTCTTTCTTTCTTTCAAGAAAAATGTGCAGCAATTATCCAGATATGTCACAAATCGTTCCTATTTTCACGAAGTGATGGTAATGAGGAAAATCGCATATCCTTTGCGTGACGATTTTCCTCATTACCGTCATTTCGTGAAAATAGAGACGAAATATCAGCTACTTTTGACTGCAATCTTATGTCACTCACTTTCTAGCACATACTGTGAGAAAGAAAAAACATGAAGTTTTCATCACTGAAAGAAACACCTCACAACACACAATATGACTTATGGACTTGCAGTTCATTTCTCTAATTGCTTTGCTTCATATGGACTTGTATTAGGTTGTTTGTGTCGCATGCAAAGTATGTACGCTAAAGGAATGTTGGCTGCCTATCACTATCAGACAACGCAAAGTGTTCAAGATCTTGACTATTGTATACAAGTGTCTCCAAGGCAAAGCTCCCACTCATCTCAGCTCTCTCATCATTCCTTGTCATTCTACAAGACCCGACATTCATTTCAAGCTTATCAACACTAGTGTGGCTATCTCATCAACTCAGCTCTCAAATAACATAATAGAGGATCATGGGGGACCAACAGGCACCGATTGGGGAAGTTTTCTATATAGAGGGAGCAAGTAGCTACAAGTAGGACAGTGGGGCTTTAAGTTCAGACTGCACCATACGCCATGTGCCCAGAACAAACAGTACAGCTGGTGATAATGCCTTTCAGGTCTCTGCACCACGACTGTGGAATGAACAGCCATTATTTGTTCGCCTGTCTCCTTTATTACGATTTGTTTAAGAAGGCTCTCAAATCACTCCTATTCAATTTGTTGGAACCCTGTGAAGCCCTTAAAGCAATTTAATACATTTATGAGCACAACATAAATGACTTTGTTATTATTGTTATTATTGAGGAAGCACCTTGTCATGTGAATATTCATTGGGGCTACAGGTTCAAATGTCAAACTACAAAAATGACAGTTCTCTGGACATAATATCACTCCTATTAATAATTACCTTCATCAGCTTCAGCTGTCTCATCCTTTCCTTCATCAACTAGGGCTGTCCAAGCTTTTCTCCTTTTGTAAAGAAGATAAAAAACAACAATTTGAAATGACATACTGATACACTTTGATGTACATACAAACATTTTTCGCAGCCATTTCAATTTCTCTGGCAACAGAATACAGTTGTAGTGATAGCAGATTTTGAAATACACATGGGACCCACGTCAATGCTGCCCTTGCAGCTACCGAAGTGCCCCCATCCCCCCCCCCCCCCCCCCCCCCCCGTTACCCATGGCCAGCTGAGAGGCCCTTTGTAGTTTTCCAAAGTGGCCCGTTCAGTAGCTTTTAAATAGCCATACAAGTAAACTCTCTATTTTCTCCTTCACAGCTTCTACTCAGCTTTTTCGATAAGAAGAAATAAAAGATGAACAGTTCATATTATTTCTTAATATATATTATAAACATATTGAGTATACTTTTAAAAATAAGAGAGCTTATAGCATGAACAAAATTAATAACTGAAGGAAAATTTGTTATTTCTTCCATTGCCCAAGGAAGTAGTTATTATCATTGATGTATGTAGGAAAGAAAAGGTCCCAACCACAGCTTTCGTCATCCTTCCAATACCAGGTCTCCATTTTTTTCAGGGTATTGAGTAGCAAATGTAGAATAATGTAGTGATAACAGATGTTGTATTATTAATTTCCATATCTGCTCTCATGGTGACTATATGGTAGTAATGCTCTCCAGGTAGTGGAGATGGTGCACACTCTACGTGAATAAATCCAATGGCCGGGATAGTAACGCGCCTAGAGAGGGTATTTCGTATTTCGTATACATCCAGATTATTATTATTATTATTATCATTATCATTCATTAGTATTGAATATATTGATGCAAAAAAGTTAAAAAAAGAGACAACACTATGATTCCCATTCACATATAATGTAAATAGTGGGATGCTCCAATCTACACATAAATGTACCTCCTCCTAGTAGAATCTTTGGTTTTTTTCTTCTTCTGCTTCCCTCCATCTATCTCTTGGATGCCTTCTTCTTCTTCTACTGTTCCTTCTAGTTCATCATAACTCTCATCCTCACCTAAATCGAGAGAGAGAGAGAGAGAGAGAGAGAAATGAAAGGGGAGGGCGAGAAGAAATTTGTGGAATGCATAATTATCCTTTAGAATAAATTAAATTATTTATAGAATGCAACCGAAAAAAATCTTCTTATGGAATTTCCATACATAATCATAAAATATGATGCTTCAATATCTCAATGTCATAGGATGTATGAAAATGTCCTACTATGCACAGGTCTGTCACTGAAATGGCCATGCATCGCATTGCCAAACTATAATGCCCAAAATAATATCAAAATCATATTAATTATTATATACCTCACTTAAGAAATCCAGCCATCTGATTGCTCGAAATTGCATTCATAAACTTTAACTATTTCTGTAAAATTCCCAGTAACCATGGTTAAAACAGTTCTAAAATCCCAGTAACCATGGTTACCGGGAAAATAGTTCAGTCTCCATGGTTACCCCATAGGTTTACATGTTAAAAAATGGTTTGAGCGATCGAGGATACCATACGTGTGCGAAGAGTTGGTCGGTATTTTCATACAAGACAAGACAATTCCAAACAAGACAAAAATGGCTAAAGAAACAGTCCCAAGATTTCAACTTATCAAATGCAAGACTCGCTGACAGCAAGACCAACAAAAAAGGTACATGAAATTATCCATAAACATGTTCGTTTAGTTGCTGAAAATGGAGTACCAGCATAGACGTAGACGAAAATAGATCTAGTTGTCAGGGTGTCTGATCGCGCACCCGATGTTGTGTGCTGTATTCTTCCCATAGAGATTACACGCAATGCAGTCTCTATGCAGTCTACGTGCATTGCGCGACCATGCAAAAAAAGTCAAGTTTTTTTTTTCAATTCGAAATTCAAACCTTTATCTGTTGTGATCCTGAAGGTGATACTCAATAAGTGAGGTGTCATATGAAAGCACAGGTTCTTCTCTCTATTCCCCACAGGGCCGGCCCTCCCCCAAAATTGTAAAAATATCTTGCTTAGACTAGAATCTAGATCTAGTCTTCTCTCAAAGATACACTCATAAAAAACAACCGTGCAGATAAACTAGAGAAAGGCCAAGGTGGTGTCATAAGTTGACTCTTTTGTTTTCGGCATATAAAAGTATTAATGACTGCTTTAATATTCGAGAAATAGTTGTTTTTATACGCTCTCAGGAAGGTTACAATTGGGCTATTGCCCTCGGCACGCCTCGGGGCAATAGCACAATTTTAACCTTCCCTTGAGCGTATAAAAACAACTATTTCTCTCAAAGCAGTCATTAATACTATACTGTTAATCCTGATGTACTAGACTAGAGGATATATTGTTGTGCATACGACAGTTTGAGCCTTGGATGTTTTGTTTACATGGCATGGCTCTTCGGAGACATGGATAAAATGCATGTCATGATGTCAATTAGTGATATTAATATATTTCATAAATCGCCAAGCCTTTAAGGCTAGAATATATAAGTTCCTTTTGCTTAACAATGATTCTTTCTTATTCATTTCTGTATCCCATTGCATTTTAGTGTCACAAATTAACATGAGAGACGTTTTTATTAATTTTCATCTTTTGATCCAGACTCATTCCAATTCTATAATGCTCTGAATTTCAAATTGTATGTGAACAGAAAATGTCTGCAATCTAGTCTGAACAGGCAACAGGCTATCAGACTTCTCTGTCTACCCCCTGCCTCCCCCCCCCCCCCATATTTACTGCATGATCAATAACTCCATGGCATCCCTACGGAAGCTTAAAAGTGCTGCCGAGATGACAAGATAATTTAGCAAAAGAAGAAGAGATAGCAAGTTGAAAGACGAGAAGACATGTTTTGGGGGAACTCGTTGACATAAATCTATTTAAGATGAGAAGACATATTGTCGAGTCGTGAAACTCAACAAGTTAACTTGTTCCAAACAAGTTGACTTTCCAAGTTCCAATAACTCATCATCTCATCTTCTCGTCCTAAATGTCGACTTGTTAACAGTTCATGCTAAACTGTAGACAAGTAGCTGACTAGCTGATTTCCAATTTTGTCTTATTTGAATTCTTGTCTTGTCCCAAATTATCTTATCATCTCGTCTGCACTTTCAAGCTTTCATATCAGAGAGTGCCCATGTAAGCTTGCCATAACATAACAAAACATGCATGAACGCAAAATCTTTGTATCTTAATTAGTGATACTTCTTCATGCTAAAAACAAGTAAAAAGTCTAAAAAAAAAAGTCTAATTAATAAGAAAAGTTGAATTTAAGTGATTTTATTCACAAGCCATGATATTCAATCTTATCACATCAAAAATCCTGAACTGGGTGTATACAGAGCTACCAAGTGTCACGCATTAGGCGTGACGTCACGCATTTGGAGGGTCTGAAAATGGCTCTCACGCACGGCGCGCGCGCTAGATTTAAAAAAACGCCATACCTATACATGTGCTATACCCTCGCACGCGCGCTTGCGTGCCGAAAAATGAAAATGTCACGCATTGCCGATCTTTTACCTTGGCGTCTATGTGTATAGCAGAATCAGAAGCCTTTGTTTTTTACATTGTCAAATGGACACATACCTTTTCTTGTAAAAAAGATGTTGTTTTTACTCAAATTTTGATGAGATTTTGGCACACTTATTTCCTAAAATAAAAGGATTAAAATGAGATCAGACGTTATGGGAATACGATTGAAAAGTTGTTAATATCACCAGGTGAAATGTTAGGTGTGCAGTCATATAGCGAGCCCCCGCTGATGGCCCATTATCATCATTCTATTTCCCACTTCTTACACAGCACACACTCACACTCATTATCATTATCTTTGATTTGATAGTTAGACATCTGACAGGTCTAACATAGAAAAAATGGAAACTAAAGTAAAACAAGTCCAATGTAGCTTTAAAAGTTTAATTTGATAGTAGAAATGTAAATATTGTCTAGATCTATTGAACATTACAAATTGTATTAATGCTGTTGTTTGATATCAATAAAACATGAAAGACAATACTCAAAAATATTCTAATCATATTTCAGCATTAGTTTAGAATTAGATCTAGATCTAGAGACTGTTGAGCTTGAGCTGAGTTGAGCTGAGCTGAGCAGAGTTTGACTTGTTTTGAGCATTAACATTAGCATTGACTCTCTATCAATGCTTTGCTGGAGTGGTCTTGAGGTCTTACCAGAAGGGACGTAGTCGTCATCTTCATCAGAGCTACTGCTATAATCACTTTCCACACCAGCCATCTTTCTCTCCGGAAAGTCAGCTGTAATGATAGTTAATTTTTAGTTGAGATGTGAAGAAAAAAAACCTTGAAACCTTTCACCATCGGCCTCCTCTCTGAACTTCACTGTTATGTTACACGCTCCTAGCCTCGCTCGGGAAATAGAACTGTCGCGTCCTGGGAAATGTCGTCTTATTAACACTTCATTGTTATACCATGATGGCATTTCTGGAAGATAAAATCTTAGAGTTTTACTGAGTTCTGTATGGACGAGTTGTCTGGAAACCCACTCCAGCTAACTACTAGCATGGGCGCCTTACCGCGTATACAGCGCCCGACTGCAGCGGCCACGGGCCGTGCTGGCTAAGACGACTACGGACTACAGCTAATCTACCTGTCTTGCATGCTTGGCGGCCAAGCTTGGAGACCAGTGGAAGCTTTTCGCGCAGGTTGTGTGTCCAGATACTTACACAAATATAGTCACCACTTAATTTTGCCTTTGGATTTAAAGAATATATGCATCAAGTAGCAGTTGTGGTATTCTCCCTTCATTGTTGCAGATATTCTCAAAATGGCTGCTCAGTTTCCATCATTCCAGAGTGTGATCAGCTTGAAGTCAAATCCACTTGATGATTGGATAGGTAAGGATGATACCACAAACTCTAAAAATGTGTGTATAGATCTAATTTGATTTTGTTTTGTTCTGGTACTCATTTCCAAAGTCAGTACTTGGTCCTGTCATTCAATAACCCATTAATAAAAACAAAACAAATCAATATCAATAACATGTAGGCCTAGGCCATCATGTCATTAATCCATTCAAATGTTTATTTGCCTAAAAACGGCGTCGGCATGTCTTTCAATATTTTCCACATCTCTCATCATGTGCCAACTCTCTTTCTCTTTAATAGTGATTGACCATTGTGTTTAGTTGTTTACATGTAGCCTACACCGGGAGCCTACAATTACATGTTTATTTTAAACTGTAGACACCAGACTATATATATGATGTTGTTTGAATTGCGATCATCGTAGCAGTCATAAATTTTCTCTATCATAGCTAGTTACTTGTCTTCATCCAATTTCCACTCAAATTAATTATTAAAGTATATACTTCCATCTATTTAAAGCTGATGTGATATGATTATGCTACCGTATTCAACCATCTGTGTCTATACTAACCTAGTAAAATTTTGCCATAAAAAATGATATGACATGAATAATGCAGGCTGTCAACCTTCCCGCATTTGAAGGGAGTACGTCTCATGCCAAAGCGCCCTTCCTCCTGCTCTCCCGCTTTGATGTAGAATCTCCTGGTTTATGAAAAAACCTCCCGCCAAACATGGTATCCACAATTTGACTCTCTTTTTTGTGCTCAAGGGGGCCGGGGCGTATTGAGCACTAAAAATATTTTATCCCTTTTTTTTGGTTACTAAACATCCCCCCCCCCCCCCCCATTGAGCAAAAAGAAATAAATTTGCATACGATCTCCCTTGAAGCAGTTCCCAAAAGTTGACAGCCCTTGATCATGTTTCAATGCACAAATTATTTCAAAAATAATTCTCAATGACTCAATTGAATTGAATTGATATCTGCTAATCTTGTTGTGATAAATGTAACTATTGAATTATTATTCTTTTCATTTAATTTGAATTTCTTTTCATCTTGTTAAACAGAGATGTGGTATCAGATTTTCTTGTGGTACCTCTTCTCATCGTTCCTCATTCATTCCTTGGCTGCTATCACAGCATTCTGTGCTCTACGTAAACACAAGATAGGTCGTCTGTATTCCCTTCTGGTAATACTCATGGGTTTACTTGGACCAATCACTGGTGGTATTGCAAGCAGTAAGTAATGTTCTGTATTTTTTCCTTGTCCATTTAAATCTCTAGAGCCATGTGCTGGTTCTAGATTTCATATTGCTGTAGCAGGCAGTTCCATGGTCAGATCCAAAATGCTGTAAAAGGGGGTTGGGGTGGGGCACAATTCTGAAACTATTTGAATAACATGCCCATCCCCCTTGAAGAAGTACCCCCCCCCCCCCCACAAAATAAGTCAGATTTTTAGAGAATTTGGTGTTTAAAATTGAAGGGGGGGGGAGCAAAAACACCCTTAGGGAAGGGGTACCGGTATATTTCGTTTGGGAGTACTGAGGTAATATCAGTGCCAAGTTTGAGGGAAAAGAAATACTGATAATACAAACTTAGCTTTGTTGTAGTTGTACAGTATGTGTAATTGTTAGTTTTCAGACTTTGAAGAAAGGAAAAAAATTAGTATGTTTAGTTTGCTTCCAAGCATAGTCACAAGGTCTCTTGATATTGCACATAATCTATTCGCGAAATTGACAACCTGGACCACTTCAAAGCTTCACTCAGAACTCACATCTTCCTTCAGACATTTAAATGCTAATATTATTGGAGGAGCTCGCGCCTTTGAATGTTATCTGAATGGTGCCATACAAATGCTGTTCATCATCATCATCATAAGTGTACAGAAATTTATAATCTTAAAAGTGAAAACATTTTCTTTGATTTTCAGAATGAAGAGTCTTTCATAGAAACTATTTTTTGTTTTTTGTTTTTGTAGTTTGTACTAAGTTTGTACCTCTCTACTGTATTACTATGGTTTTAGTTGTCATTACAAAATAGAAAGCAGTGTATCACTATATCAGTTAACCTGCAATAGTGTTAAAACTGTATAAATATTCAGTGCTAAACGATAAATTATCCATATACTAAAATATTTCTTCAACATTTCGGATCTGTCTCTCTTCATTCAGGTGCAATTATAGCGGGACTATTCTACACAGCCAATATATCAATGTATCCACTATGGGCTCTGGTCTGTGGAACCGGTCAAACGTTCATCGTAGCACTTGTCTCTTTCTCCCGTATCTTGGGTACATTATGATGTACCTCCGTTTGTCAAGTACTCAATGGAACGTTAGAAGATGGATGTTGGATTTGGAACAGATTTGTCATGGCACTCATCTCTTCTTCCCACGTCTTGCATACATTGTGATGTACTTCCGATCTTCAGTTACTCAGGTGGATGTGATGTCGAGCGGTCAAACATTAATCTAGGAGCACCCATCTGTTTCTCTAGCCTCTTTGGTACCTTGTGATATACAGCATGTCAATCACTCACTGTGTAGTGACTAGAGTGTTAGAAGAGAATTATGGAACATGGATTAGATGTTGGGGTTTTGGAACAGATATTTGTCGGCACTCGATCACCTCTTTAATACAATACAATAAAGTCTTTGATTTAGGCTTTGATACTTTTGAGACTATTCAGACCTCATTCATAGGAATAGTTTAAGAATATGTTAGTGGTGCCAATTTAAGAAAGGAAAGCCAAATATTTGTTAAGCTTAAAAAAAAATCCTTTTCAAGTGCCATTTCAGTAAGGGAGTAGCACGAGAGGATTGCGAGAGGCAAAATATGATTGGTTGTGTTGATGCATCTAGCTGTGTATCAAAAATACATGTGTTTCTTTTTTTCAAGATAATTTGTAATATTACATTTCTGATAACTACAAATATCATAACTGTACATGTAGTACTGTTACCAGGTTAGCCATGAAACGTGGTTCAGATTGTGAGTGTATATTTATTGTCATCATTGTGATATTATTCAAATAAAACAACTAAATTACTAAAAAGAAGATTTCTTCCCATTAAATGGATGTAGTATTTCTCTAGAGGTCCTACTCTTAAGTAGTATTATATACTTGTCATCCCTAATAAAAAATTCCAAAATATCAATGTCCTAAATGAGTGTAAGATGACAATAGGATCAGAACATGGTTCAGCTGTAGCTGTCCTTAAAATGTGAAATAGTAATTTGAAAAATGAGATATTGAAATTGACTTATCACATCCCATTCATCTTTATGATTTATATTACTTTAAATAGGTTTTCAGAAGTACATGTAATGTGCAATATGTATGTAAAGTTTCTGTGTAACTACTTTCGTGTGAAAGACTGTTTATTGCAATTAGACTTTATGTACATGTAGATCATTTAAGAAATGCGTTTTAAAAAAAATTCCAGCCAGCAGTTTTTGGGTGATCAATTAGGGAAAATGATGACCTGTTACAAATCTGTGATTGTTAGACACCCAACATTCAGTATCATTTTGTAATACCGGTACTTTTAATTGATTATACAGGGTGTCCCTGAAAAGGAGGAAACCAGAATTATGGATAAATTACTCAATAATCCAAAATTACTTATTGGTTATTGTACACTGTTATATAACTTTTTTTCTGTTCTTTCATATGACAGCAAAAACTTGATCACTTACTCATGCATAACTGATTTCAGACAACCTAAATTGAGAGAGCCAGGAACCCAATTGTCAAAAATAAGTGAATGGCTGCTATCTTTTGTTCATTGTGGTTTGGGAAATATAATACATTTTTTGGAACTATTGATTATTGCAATCAAATGAGATGAGAAACATGATGGCAGTATCACTCATGGCTGAGCAGGCAGACCATTCTGCAATTAGTATTAAAGGCACATTGACAGTTTGTTTGAGGAAATTAAAGGATGCAGTTGAACAAAGTAATTGTGCCAAGTATCAACTAAGAATTGTGCTTTGCTCAGTCATATTTTTCTATACATGTATTCCTATTTGTTATGACTTGGTGAAATGTTGTGTTTTTATATGAAATAAATTATTCTTTGTGTATATGGAACTGATTAAATTATTTATATTCAATATAAGAAACGTTTTTGTGATGTATTCAGCTTATATACCAAGATAACTCTCAAGCCAATTGTTGATATCCTGTTCTTTCCTCGTCCCTTTCCACCTCTCCCTTCCCCCTTTTTCCTTTCCCCCTTTTTTATAATTTGATTGAATTGGGGCCATGTAGCTATGCCCTTGATGTCTAATCACATGTTCTTGGTCAGTGCTGTTTGAATAAGGTTTGCTAAATTACTGACTTAAAACCCCCACCACATGAAAACCCTTGCCTAGCTGACCCCAGGTTATAAACCCCTATAGGCCTACTACCTCAGCCCTATCTCTTTTTAAGGAAAATTATTTGCAAGAAACCGCTGGATAATCCCTTGGAGTGATTGGCATATGACTCATACAATTATAAACTACAATCATTAACCCCTAGGCCCCACCCCCCCCCCCCCAACACGGGATGGTTGCTGACAATGAAAATATTATAAAAAACAACCACTGCTTTAATTGTGCAGATTGGATTTAATTGAATTCATCTTTTTCACATCTACATTGTAACAAATGTATACAGAATGGCAAAATATGTAAAAACAACATGGTACAAGCAAATAATAATACAAAAAATACAAAGATAATGTGAATGTGATGGGATAATAGTTCAGTATAACTTCTCAACATGATTCCACTAACATGATTGAAAAATATGTACAAAGTAAAAATACATTAGTGAAAAACAAATTAGTGCAGAGATGTTTAAATCAATGAACATTCAATTTTTTAATATAATTTTCAAATATAAAAATAAATAATACTTTTTTGAAAGAGTTTAAAGAATTAGTGTTCTAATTAACACTGGCGAACTGGTGGGTGGCGTCAGCCCCCCCCCCCCCCAAATAAAATTGAACCATGACTTATTTTCAATTCCGTGATGTATAAATGTTCGTGATATCACATTATTTTCAACAAAATGAGCGTTTCTCCATTTCTGTTGCAAACTGACGCATTCCCAAATAGCCAGGAGGAGCATATGTTTTTTTATAGTCACTCAGGGGCCGTGGCCACTAACAGTAACACTAGTAAAAAAATTCTTTCCAGAAGCAACTGTGACAAGCACTGCCGGGAGTTCCATACTAACATCATGTAACACTGCTCATGTACCGTTTAGGGGCCCAGTGGGGAAATTGAATTCAGACAAGATTAAGAGTAGAGAACAGTAGAACGAATCGTCTTTTTTCTCTTATAATGAAACGGCAAAGCTTCCGCACTTCGGGGGGGGGGGGGGGGGGCAACTGCATGAAGTCAGGCTAGGATTAAGAGTCGAGAACGGTACAACGAATCGTCTTCTTTCTCTAAGAATTTAATGAAACGTGAAAGCTTCCGCGCTTTGCGCGAGATGGGCGAAAAAGAATACAGACAAGGATTAAGAGTAATAATTTAATGAATCGTCAAAGCTTCCGCGCTTCACGCGGAATGGGAGAAAATGAATTCAGACAAGGATTAAGAGTAATAATTTATTGAAACGTCAAATCTTCCGCGCGGGAGGGAGGGAGGGGGGGGACTGGATCCAGACGAGGATCAAGAGTCGGGACCGGTACAATGAATCGTCTTCTTTCTCTAATAATATGTAATGAAACGTCATAGCTTCCGTGCTTTGCGCGGGAGGGGGCGAAACAAGAACATTTGAGAACGGTACAACGGATCGTCTTCTTTCTCTAATAATTTAATGAAGTGTCAAAGCTTCCACGCTTCGCGCCGGAGGGGGGAAACTGAATTCAGACGAAAACATGATACAACGAATCATCTTCTTTCTCTTATAATTTAATGAAACGGCAAAGTTTCCGCACTTCGGGAGGGGGGGGCAACTTAAGTCAGACTATTAAGAGTCGAGAACGGTACAACGAATCGTCTTCTTTCTCTAAGAATTTAATGAAACGTGAAAGCTTCCGCGCTTTGCGCGAGATGGGCGAAAAAGAATACAGACAAGGATTAAGAGTAATAAATTAATGAATCGTCAAAGCTTCCGCGCTTCGCGCGGATTGGGCGAAATTGAATTCAGACAAGGATTAAGAGTAATAATTCATTGAAACGTCAAATCTTCCGCGCGGGAGGGAGGGAGGGGGGGGGGGGAAACTGGGTCCAGACGAGGATCAAGAGTCGGGACCGGTACGTACAATCGTCTTCTTTCTTTAATAATTTAATGAAACGTCATAGCTTCCGCGCTTTGCGCGAGAGGGGGAGAAAGAAAAAAATACTACTGATGAAGTACCGGACCATCGTCTTTGTGAATTGTGCGGCATCAAAGCATATACAACGTCTCACGACTTGACAGCTAGATCACCTTTCTCTAACTTCTAACCAATCAGAAGGCCTCGTTTTTTCCAGGAAGTGCCGGTGGACATTAATGCGCAAAATGTGGGAGTGCGCATTAATTTTTTTTTTTTTTTTGGACGGGGGGCACGTCCCTGTTTGCCAGTACATTTTTGGTGAATTTTGGGCTGATTTCAACATTTTTTTGGGGGCCCCCTGTGACCTCCCCCCCCCCCCCCTGGATCCGCGCCTGATGTAGAATATGAAGTTTATTAAAGATATAGGTAAAGATTGACTGCAGAAACCAGAGAGTTTGTAATAATCCAACCCGGGGTACTCACATATTAAGACATAGATGTGCCCGGCCCTAATGGGTTGCCTTTTTACAAAAAATTCCTTAAACATGGTTCGATTTTATACATAATATCACTAAACATGCACCTATATTTCGAGAAAATTCCCTAAAAAGTAAGAGTGACTAAAAATATGGGTCCCTTTTGTGCAAAAATGGGTAGAGGTTTGAGGCGTGAACGGCACACCCCGTCCAAACCAAATCTGAGTCCCCCCCCCCCCCCCCCCCCCCCCACTTGGGTATCCAACCATTCTTTTTCGTAATTTCAATAAGCTGTCGAATTGAGAAATGTTTTGAAGTAGAACCAAGGATGGAATTTCTTAGTTGGTGAAGTACAGGGGCGGCGATCCCGGGGAGGGGGGCACACGTGGGGATCACCCCCCCCCCCAGAAAATGTATAAAAGTGTCCAAAATAAATTTTAGCAAATACTGACTAAAGACTGCAAGCACTTTTTTTTTTAGCTCTAGAGGGCCCAAGAATGCAGTTTTTAAGAGTAGACTAATAAAAATGCACAATTTCCTTCAAAATGTAGTATTAAATATTGTAAAAAATCTCGCATTTCAATCGCCTGATCGTGGCTATTATACTCGATAGGGCCTAGGGGTCCCATATGATATCATTGAGCTGCCCACATTGAAGCAGTTCAAGGAAGCCATCAGCTGCGAATAGTCACAGCATCATCATTATTTTTTATGATTTTTATCATTTTACTTGCACCATAAACATGTATATATTTCGGCACAAATTCACACAAGCCGTCCACCGTCGGCATAAGATCACCCTTGTCTAGATGCTGAACAGGCTTTGACAAGAAGTAGAATAGAAGTAGAAGTATGATGACATCTTTATGCATAGGGTTTAAAAGGGGAATTCCCCCTGACTACGCACTAGTACGAGTGCGCGCGCGTTAATGGCTGTGTCCGACTTGTGGGGTTTGGTATTTTTGGTTTTACATGCTGCACGCGCGCAGAATTCGCACTGCAAAACTCCAATCGCCACTACACTAGCCCTGCATGCTTGCACGGAGGCTTCAGCAAATTTCGAATAAACAGAGCTAAATCCGAGTCAAAGTCAACGCCCATTGTGCTAGAAAAAGTGTTATTTCGAAGCACGATACTGGCACGAAGCCAAACTTAAAACAGGTAAGGAACAAATAAATGTAGTCTAAAGTTAGATCTAGATATAGATCTAATTAAACATGTAAAATTATCAATGTTTGGGTGATTATTTATATTCCGCTTCCGATTTATTTTGGTAGACGACGTAGACTCTAGACTAGGTTTACTGTCTTGTACTGTTGACCGTTGTACTTGTACTTTATACATGTACTACAGTATTGAACTTGTACTAGTCTAGGGATGGCCTACCAACACTCCACAATATGCAATACCATATGTACAATGTGTAGATCTATACAGTCACGTCGTGTGTTCGAAAAGTTGATTTCAATGATTATGGTCTAACTAGACAGCAATAACCATCTTAGACCGAAAGCTTCAGTCTCTATAAATAATCGTCGGTTGTTCCACTGAGACTACGTCTGGCTCCACTAGACCTCCGGTCATAACCGGAGGTCTAGTGGAGCCAGACGTAGTCTCAGTGGAACAACCGACGATTATAGAGACTGAAGCTTTCGGTCTATAACCATCTGATTTGGGTCATTTCTTTAATAAAACTGACATTTGTTGTCATTCCCCAATACAGATGGCAACCCAGAGATCTCGTACCGTGGGGGTAAATTAGAGCCACAGCGCAACAGCTTTTCGTTACCGACATTTCTCCCCCGATTTTCTTTATTTAGATCTAATTTCCTGATTTCTAAATCAGATGTAAATTAGGTCGGTACGGAGCCCCGAAAGTGACATGGAGAATTTTTTTTTTTCTCGTTTTCCTGAGATAAATTCTCGTTTTCCTGAGATAATTTTTCGTTTTCCTGAGATAAATTCTCGTTTTCCTGAGATAATATTTCTTTTGCCTGAGATAATTCCCGTTTTCCTGAGATAAATTCTTGTTTTCCTGAGATAATATTTCGTTTTCCTGAGATAAATTCTCGTTTTCCTGAGATAAATTCTTGTTTTCCTGAGATAATATTTCGTTTTCCTGAGATAAATTCTCGTTTTCCTGAGATAATATTTCGTTTTCCTGAGATAATTCCCGTTTTCCTGAGATAAGTTCTCGTTTTCCTGAGATAATTTTTCGTTTTCCTGAGATAAATTCTCGTTTTCCTGAGATAATATTTCGTTTTCCTGAGATAATTCCCGTTTTCCTGAGATAAATTCTCGTTTTCCTGAGATAATTTTTCGTTTTCCTGAGATAAATTCTCGTTTTCCTGAGATAATATTTCGTTTTCCTGAGATAATTCCCGTTTTCCTGAGCTAAATTCTCGTTTTCCTGAGATAAATTCTCGTTTTCCTGAGATAATTTTTCGTTTTCCTGAGATAAATTTTCGTTTTCCTGAGATAATTTTTCGTTTTCCTGAGATAAATTTTCGTTTTCCTGAGATAATATTTCGTTTTCCTGAGATAATTCCCGTTTTCCTGAGATAAATTCTCGTTTTCCTGAGATAATTTTTCGTTTTCCTGAGATAAATTCCCGTTTTCCTGAGATAATATTTCGTTTTCCTGAGATAATTCCCGTTTTCCTGAGATAAATTCTCGTTTTCCTGAGATAAATTCTCGTTTTCCTGAGATAATATTTCGTTTTCCTGAGATAAATTCTCGTTTTCCTGAGATAATTTTTCGTTTTCCTGAGATAAATTCTCGTTTTCCTGAGATAATATTTCGTTTTCCTGAGATAATTCCCGTTTTCCTGAGATAAATTCTCGTTTTCCTGAGATAAATTCTCGTTTTCCTGAGATAATTTTTCGTTTTCCTGAGATAAATTTTCGTTTTCCTGAGATAATATTTCGTTTTCCTGAGATAATTCCCGTTTTCCTGAGATAAATTCTCGTTTTCCTGAGATAATTTTTCGTTTTCCTGAGATAAATTCTCGTTTTCCTGAGATAATATTTCGTTTTCCTGAGATAATTCCCGTTTTCCTGAGATAAATTCTCGTTTTCCTGAGATAATTTTTCGTTTTCCTGAGATAAATTCTCGTTTTCCTGAGATAAATTCTCGTTTTCCTGAGATAATATTTAGTTTTCCTGAGATAAATTCTTGTTTTCCTGAGATAATATTTCGTTTTCCTGAGATAAATTCTCGTTTTCCTGAGATAATTCCCGACCAATACATGTTGCATAACTTTCGAAACCCCAGACATCGTTTGTTATATGATCACAGATTTCCCGATTTTCTTGATCGATTTTAATTTGTTTAAAAATTGAACATTTCATAGCTTTCTTATTTCATATCCGATTTTCCTCAAACTTTTATTAATCACTTTGTCTTATTTGTCTCCTTTTATTAAAATATAGATATTCTTAGGGTGGCCTTCCCCTTTAAGGCCCTTTTGGAATTGATAATTATCTTCATAAATATATCGAATTTCGACAATTGAATGTTGAGACCTACAAGGTGATGTGAATAACTGAATACCAGGCGCGGATCCAGGGGGGGGGCGAGCGGGCCTTGGCCCCCTCCCCCCCCCCCGCAAAAAAAAAAAAAAAAGAGAGAGAAGAAAGGAAAAGAAGGGAAAGAGAAAGAAGAGAGAAAGGGAAAGAAAGAAGAGGAAGAAGAAAAGAAAAGGGGGAAGAAGGAGATTGGGGAAGGCGAAAGGGCCTTGCCTCCCAGGCTGTTGACCCCCCCCCCCCCCCAATCAAAAAAATAAGAGAGAAGGAAGGAAAGGGAAAGAAAAAAGGAAAAGAGGAGATACTGGCGTACTGATAGGGGGGGCTTGGGGGAAATCAAATTCAAACGTGGTTTATTTCTAATTCCACAACGGTGGATTACAAATAATGCTGAAATGACATAATTTCCGAGATTTTTCCTCACTTTTTAGTTGATTCCTACTTGTCAGGGCCCGAAGTACGGCGGGGATCGGGAGCCCCGAGCCCCCCCTACTTTTTTGAAAAAGTATATTAAAGAGAAATAAAATAGAATGAGAGCAAGAAAGAAAGAATAGTTAACTGCCAGTGTTAAAAAATAATGAGGCATCAAAATATGCTCATCTGACCGTGATTAATGCCTAAAACCCCTAAGCTTCCAGGGGCTCTGCCCCCTGGATTTAACCTAGGGCCCTACGGCGGGCCCTTAGATGCTCATCTGACGGTAATTTAATGCCTAAAACCCCTGATATTTTGGGGCTCCGCCCCCTGGACCCCACGCCAAATAGTGACGTGCCAGTCTCACAAAATAATAAGGTATACAAAAAAATGCTCATCTGACCTTAATTAAACGCCTAAAACCCCTGAGTAGAGCTTCCGGGGCCGGCTCCGCCGCCTCGACCCCCCCCCCCCCAGGGGCCCTAAGACGGCCCCTGATTCAGACAAGGATTAAGAGTATAGAGAACGATACAACGCATCGTCTTCTTTCTCTAATAATATAATGAAACGTCAAAGCTTCGCGCAGGAGGGGAGGGGGGGGGGACTGAATTCAGACAAGGATTAAGAATCGAGAACGGTACAACGAATCGTCTTCTTTCTCTCATAATCTTATGAAACGTCAAAGCTTCCGCGCTTCGCGCGGGAGGGGGGAACCTGAATTCAGACGAGGATTCAGAGGCGAGAACGGTAATACGAATCTTTAATGATTTAATGAAAGGTAAAAGCTTCCGCGCTTCGCGCAGGATGGAGGGGGAACTAAATTCCGATGAGGATTATTTTCGAAAACGGTACAACGAATCGTCTTCTTTCTCTAATGATTTAAGGAAATTTAAAAGCTTCCGCGCTTCGCACGGGAGAGGGGAACCTAAATTCAGACGAGGATTAAGAGTCGAGAACTCGACAACGAATCGTCTCCTTTCTCTAATAATTTAATAAATCGTAAAAGCTTCCGCGCTTCGCACGGGAGGGGGAACCTAAATTCAGACGAGGATAAAGAGTCGAGAACTCGACAACGAATCGTCTTCTTTCTCTAATAATTTAATAAATCGTAAAATTTTCCGCGCTTCGCGCGGGAGGGGGAAAACTAAATTCAGACGAGAATTATTTTCGAAAACAGTACAACGAATCGTCTTTTTTCTCTAATAATTTAATGAAACGTCAAAGCTTCCGCGTTTCGCGGAGGAGGGAGGGGGAAAATTGCCCCTCCCTGCACCGACCCCCCCCCCCCCCGCATTACGTCACTGTTGGTCACCATTACGTACCAATATTTGGCTCGCAAAATTTCAAATTTGGGCCCCCCCTCTAAAAAATCCTGGATCCGCGCCTGCTGAATACCCCCCTAAAACTGGATTTAGGCCCTAGGCTGACGGCCGTCGGCCTCGTGGGCTGTCCCCTATTGTAATCGGGCAGTCTGTTAATAAAGTGTTCTTGAATCAAGATAGATTTATCATCCAAATTGGTATTGTACCTAAATTTGTACGAGTAAGACTAGTGTCTTTTATTTGTTAATTGCGCTCTTCGCTCGCTCGCAATTTACAGTAATTTATGACATCGTACTCAGGGGGGGGGGGGGGGGCATTCAGATGCCAAAACGTTATAAAATTAGAAGAAAATTGTATTTTTTCAATTCATTTTAACTGTTCATTTTACAACGGAAATTATCTCAGGAAAACGAAATATTATCTCAGGAAAACGAGAATTTATCTCAGGAAAACGAAATATTATCTCAGGAAAACGAGAATTTATCTCAGGAAAACGAAACATTATCTCAGGAAAACGAGAATTTATCTCAGGAAAACGAAATATTATCTCAGGAAAACGAAAAATTATCTCAGGAAAACGAGAATTTATCTCAGGAAAACGAAAAATTATCTCAGGAAAACGAGAATTTATCTCAGGAAAACGGGAATTATCTCAGGAAAACGAGAATTTATCTCAGGAAAACGAAAATTATCTCAGGAAAACGAGAATTTATCTCAGGAAAACGGGAATTATCTCAGGAAAACGAGAATTTATCTCAGGAAAACGGGAATTATCTCAGGAAAACGAAATATTATCTCAGAAAAACGAGAATTTATCTCAGGAAAACGAAAAATTATCTCAGGAAAACGAGAATTTATCTCAGGAAAACGGGAATTATCTCAGGAAAACGAAATATTATCT